GAGTGAGAAAGGCAACGATTATGTGCCATACCATGAAATAACAAAGTGATTTCACCGGATGCATGATGCATTGTGCTTGTCCTAAGAGGAGACAAAATTTGGAATTTTTTTTCCCCTCGTTTTTCTTAATTCTTCCTAACGTGCACCTTGCTACTGTCTCGCATTTGCCCTATAGTTGAGTGTTCGCCCCTGCGATGAAGGTTTTTGGTTATGTACCCCTGTCAGAGATGGTAGTCACTAGTCTTTATTAACGTTCAACATTACGGTGGAGTAATACTCAGCTGAAATGATAATAGTAGAAGTATTTTATGCACTGCCAGTAACGTTTCTATGCTATTTTGATAGTCATAATCGATTTGCAATGTCCAGTATGTCAAAATACGCCAAAAAACACCTGTTTTCGGACTTACACGTACCAAAATGATCTTTAAGATAACAAACTTACTTTATTTTGATGTCATAGTATTAGGTGTATTGAAGCATCACGCAAATCTGTTTAAATCTTACTTGCAATGTGATCAACTATCGGCAATCCTGTGAAATATACACACTGTTCTGACTGCTGTGATAATTATGTTCCTCGCCATTTTTTCGAGGGAGCATATAGTCACCGCTTTGTCCGTCCGTCCGTCAGTCCGTCCTTTCGTGTTTGAAGCATGACTTTGTCCACAGTTAAATGTATACGTTCGTGATGTGCAATGTACCAAATTCAGTGTCCATGACACCTTAATTACATAATTGTTTCCCTTTGTTAAAATTTGTGTTCAATAATGTTGTTTTCGGGGAACATTGATCAATTTTGCTGTACTGATACTCTTATTTTTGTTTTGTTTTGTTTTTTCCTTGCAAAAACAGTTTACATCTGTCAAGTTGCTTCTCTCACGAAAATATGGGGTTTACTTTTACCTCGTCTTTCTCTTTGTTGTTGAGCTTTAGCCGTTTTCTACCTCGGCTTATTTCCGCGGGAAGACATTTTGTTTACAGCTGATGTGTGTTCATGCTAACTCTAGACGAAGAAAAAGAATACACTACAAATAAATTTTATGCACGTAACGCTGGTTTTATTCATGTTTTGACGCAAGCATTCTTGTGGCAAATCAGTTCAAAATAGTTAAAATTAAAGATTTCAAATATTTCCTCAACAACTAAAATGACTACCATTTTAAAAGCTTTCTGCATCTAGGTAGGTCGTAGGGAGCGGGTGGAGTTTACTTTAATTTGATTTGGAAAAGAATATCTGTAACATCTGCTAAAAAAGATCATCAATTATAATCATATTTAGTCAAACAGCAGGACAAAATGGAGAAATTTCAGAGTGTTGCCACCAGGGAAAGGGCCACTAAAAATAATTGAAATATCAAAAATCTTCATTTTAAATAAAGAGAAATTCTTTCACATTTGGAAAGTCATTAGAATTGTGAAGTTCAGAGCTGTAGATGTCCAGGTGACCACTGGGAAATCTTTAATCTATGTAACATTTATTTCCATATTCTGCTAAAACAATCTACCAATTTTAATTGTAATTTGACACAGGATTCCTCAGTGCAACATGCAAGGTGAAAATTCGAGTTCTCGATCCTCAGCTAATTACAGCTAATATTGTTTATATTCATGAAATACAATAAATTATCGGTAAAGTGATAAACTACAGCTACGATACATTAATATCAATCTAAATTCTTCCTGTTTCAAAATCTTTAGCAAACGTTATACCCAACAAGTAAAGGAATTCAACAAGTGATTTCATTCATATCTTGAATTATACTTTAAATTCCAAAATTAATACAATCTTATTCCCAATTCGTTTTGAAAGTATAGATTAAAAATGAAAACTATTAACGAAATAGTCAAGGCACAGAAATAAATATTCGCCTTCTCTTTTCTGTGCCTTGACTATTCCATCGCTTGATTTGCTAGTTAAACTACACTACTTCCAATCAAAGTTTATAGTGAAGGAGTACATGATGATGGAGACCCACTAAGACAGATAATATAGACTAGAACATGTAATCCCAACAAAACGAAATGATAAAAGTTGTTTGGTTTGTCACTAACCGACATCGCATCGACATCCTCAAAATGAAACTTAATGATATGCGCATAACCACAATGTATAAAACCGTGCATTACGAAATGTCCGTACCGAACAACATTTTCATTCCAGAATCACTTATCACTCGACAAGCTCATCGATATGACTATTAAGTACCTCTTTACAAAATTTTGATTAGAAAACAACCTTTCTTCCCTCGTAAAATATATCATTTGAATGATGAATTCTTATTCTGAACATCTCCGAAATCAACGAACCGCCTTCAGATCTACTCATACCCAGTTGTTGAAGGCGGTTATCAAAAAATACAAATATATCTCGCCCTTTCATAGATAATACAAGGTAAACACTGTGTTTTTATGACGATAACAATCCCGTTTACCACTATATGCAAGGCCATTACCTTCACCGACTGTCGTGCTGTGTAGAGCTGTGTATCGTATACAGATTCTGGATTAAACAGGTAACATCTTACCATATTTGAACATATTATAAGATATTATAGTATTTATTAATTTATCCTGAAGGCTCGTTAATTATTTATTCTCTTAACAGTGTCGATTCTATGTACAACTACAATTTTTTGTTTACTGTACATTTATCATAGGTATGCACATATTCTATTCCCCTATAAAGAACCTGTGTTGCCGGTGATGCACCAACATGTTATGTTTTATCTCCTTGACCCAGCAGAGAAATATATCATTAAAAGTTGTTCAGTATGGCTATAAATAAATATATACCGCTCGCCAGGGTTGTGCATTTCCCTACTACTTCCTGGTATAACTCCTATCACTTTATATTTATGTACGAGTTTCAGTACTGCTGGCAGAATGGGCAATTCTACCTGTATTGGCGTAGTTTTAATACATGCGGAAACTATTAAACAATATATATTCCAGTGATACAGTTATGACAAAATTTTAAAATGTTTGCTGCCTATTGCATTTAAGTCAACATGACGCTTATCCAATGGTGTCCAAAGACGTATGAATGATAATTGTATTATACACTTATAGATACAGTAGATGTAGCATTAGGTATGGCGTGTGTGCTTAAATACGTTAAGAATGTCATAGTAGTAATAATAATGAAACATGCAATACATTCACTACTAGCGTCACTAGTATTGCTCTAGTTTTCTTTTCTGTTAACTGTTGTGACATTTTCTTTTATATCTGTATAATAATGCCATACTGTGGAATTAATTTGCTTTTAAACTCTCCACATATGAACACGAAAGGGACTGCAATTGCATAACTTGGAGTTCACTCCTGTCCATCTTTTTACAGGTATCTTTTTGTTTTCCGACACTTTCGATTTCATCTCCAGTGATGGACGTTCTCCTTGAGAGGATTTTTCGTTTCCCTTCCCTTACCAAACTTTGTATACCGCACTTTCTTAATTCTATAGCATCTACGACATATACTCCAATACGTAACTAGAATAACTAATATCTATATTCTGTTATTAATGTGTCCACACTATTATTTACCACCATCCCGATTTTGTCAGTAATACACCAAATGAATATTATTCCTTAGAGGATTATATTCCTGTGGTCTCCAGTGTTTGTCTTTTTCATTGCATGTTGAAAATCTTGCAGCGGTGATGAGAGTTATATTCTTTATGTTTTCCCAATATAATATCTTATATCTTTCCACTGAAATCCTGAACCGTTTGAAGAAAATTAATTCACCTCAGCCAAATGTCCGTCATTTAGATAAATGCATTGTCATGGTACACTGTCCCCAAGTTAGAAAAAAAGGGGTGAGGGGTGTCATTGTGTTCAACAATATTTTCAACATAATCCCTTTACTAGGTATCCGTCAATATCCCCTTTTCCCGATATGCATTTTCATTCATTTTAATGGATATAAAGTAGAATAAACTTACTTCGTCTTTCAAACATTGCCAATGTAACTCCACATCAGTATTGTTTTTAAATCTGCAGCAGCTTGGATTATTGTCCGGTGAAACGCAAGGGTCATTTTGAAACAGGTTTTCTTGAATTAGCTGGTAGTGACCTTAAAGCACACTATGCGGCTATCCTGCTGCAATTACAGCTATTGTAATTAAGTGTTATTTTAAGGACACAACCATGACAGCACATTAACCGCTCGGTAGAGATAAAAAAAAACAACACAGCCCTTGTTTTCACCTAAGAACGTAACATTGAACAACAATAGAAATAGCATGTTTCAGTGTAATTACAGCTAATCTCGTATCCTCAGTGCAACGTGAAAGGTGTAATTCGGGTTCTCGATCCCCAGCTAATTACTGCTAATACTGTTAATATACATGAAATACGATAACTTATCGGTAAAGTGATAAACTACAGCTACGATACATTAATATTCATCCAAATTCTGCCTGTTTCAAAATTTTTACCAAAGGTTATACATGTACTCAACAAGTAAAGGAGTTCAGCAAGTGATTTCAGTCATATTTTAAATTATGCTTAGAAAGTATTGTGAATTCTAAAATTAATACAATTTTATTCCCAAATCGTTTTGTTAGTCTAGATTTAAAATTGAGGCTATCGAAGTAGTCCAGACACACACACAAAAAAAAAATATCCGCCTTTTTTTTGTCTGTGCCTTGACTATACCATCGCTTGATTTGTTTGTTATACTACACCACGGAAATAACCCAAACAAGTCGTGTAAACTATTTTACGATCCGACCTATTCGTAGTTTAAATATTTGCACTGATGCACATGAACGAAAACGCATTCTGATCTCCCAGACTGATTTCCCTTTATTCTCACTTCGTCAGATGATATAGCGATAAGCTTGACGGCCGACGGGACCGCGAATGACCAAAACGTACTACAAGTCTGTATAGAAGCTGGAATCTTAATGCCATTGAGACGAATTATTTATACATATTTAGTCTTGTACATTTCTCTCAAGCATTTTTAATCTCGTTTCAGTTTCCGTCATCATGACTGATTTTGCACTACCCATTATCGACATGTCAAAATCCAAAACACATCGAAAGGAGCTCGCAGCTGCTGTTGTGCACGGTCTCGAGAATACTGGCTTTCTTTATATTGACAATGCCGAAGGTGTAGATTTTGACAGAATGTACGAAAGCTGTAAATGGTTCTTCAGTAGATCAAACGAAGTGAAGCACAGTCTGAAAAGAAAAATATGGAATCCTGATAACTCAAATATTTACCGTGGATATTTCCCTGTAGGCGAAAACGAGCCAAGCCGGAAGGAAGGATTTGAGTTTGCTCGGGACATTACACCAGGTGATCCGGAAGTTAAACCAGGGAACTGGTTTTATGAGCCATCAGTGTGGCCAGAAGAAGATGGAACATTCCCATTCAAGTCATTCATGCTTGATCTTTATGAAATTTTACATGATACATCACTAGAAATTCTGCGTCTCGCGGCCATAGGTCTTGGAATTGATGAGTATTCCTATGAGGATCTATTCTCCAAGAGACCCTGTTCTACTCTCCGTTTGATGCATTATCCACCATGGGAAGGAAATCCCCCAGAAAATGCCAAAATTGAGGACGGAAAAGTGCTGACAACGCCTGCGCATACCGACACTAACTTTCTCACTCTGCTGTCTACGTTTGGATACAAAGGCCTAGATATCGTCACAGCAGATGGAAAATGGACGGAGGTTGAACCACGCCCCGGAAGTCTTGTCATGAATATCGGTGACGTGTTTTCACGAATGATGGGTGGTCGATTTAAGGCGACTTGCCACCGTGTTGTAGATATTGGAGTCGATAGATATTCACTTCCGTTTTTCCTGGAACCTAACTTTGAAGGTGATATTGGTGTAAACTTCATGACCAAGGCCACAGGTAAGGGCGACTCCCACGTTCCGGAACAGTATGGACCTTTCGCTATAAATATGATGAAACACGTGAAGAAATATTTCGAATACAAGACATTACCTGAATTTTAAACAGATGTTTACATGATCTTTATTAATATACATATACTGGGTTGCATTTTATGAGTATAAAATCATATCAAGATATATTTATGATGTTAATTCAATAAAACTGAGGCATTTTGTTAAAATATTTTCAAAAAAAACAACACTATTTAAAACGTTTACCTTTTAATAAATTGTTTGTTCAATATTTAACCAGTGAAATAAAACGATTTTGATAGGCATGGAGGAGTACATTGTTCTTAAACAAATAAATAGTTTATACTTTCCGTGGGAGAGCAAGCAGACTTGTGAAATCTATCACACACAAAAGTTAATGTGAAAGAATGAAACATGATGATCGACTACCTTAGAATATAGCAGGCTCCACGCAGATATGGTATAGGTGGTTTCCTCTGTTGAATCATTAAAGTTAGTGACACACAATTGTGAAATTTATCAAGGTATTTCCACATGAAGTCACAGCCTACAACTACTTCAACACCGCGAGTTATGGCCTATTGGAATATTTTATCGCAAGATGTCCTAGAAACAGAAAACATTAAAATCGAAAATCAAGAACATTCAACTTCCGGAATGTTTCGCTGAGGACCGGATCAACATTTACAAAATGGGTCAGACCTTTGATATATATTTGCACTCCATTGATCAATCACAGAGTGAAATATAATTTAACTGACCAATGGCAGTATCATAATAACAATGTCATGTTGATACCGCGACTTTTTGATACAGTAAGTTCCTCCTTGTCAGTTTTATTCACATCTGGCACAATATTGACTATACGTATGTAGTCTTGTCCTGCATGTAAGAAGTTATTATCCGATACATATCCTTAAGATGTTACTAGATTTGGAAAAAAATCTCTCCTTCCCGAACAAGGTCTTTTTTGCGATATTGAGTTGAGTGAGAAAGGCAAGGATTTTGTTCCATACCATGACATAGAAAAGTGATTTCAACGGATTCATGATACACAGTGCTTGTCGTAAGAGGAGACTGAAGTTTGGATATCTAAATTTTCTATTTTTCCCCCTTTATTCTTCCCAATGTGTCCATTGATAATGCTCCCTATAGTTGAGAGTTCGCCTCTATATCAAAGACAAAGGCTTTTGGTTCTGTCCCCCTGGCAGAAACAACGCCAAAAATGGTAGTCACTATTTCTTGCTTAAGGTTCAGCAAGGGAGGGGGGGCGGGTTAAAACATTCTCATTTTTTTAACCTTCTCCTTAAGACTCTTTAAACTCTTTTACTGTTATAAAAGCCACTTAAAGGACGTTACCAAAATTGTTCTCTTCAGGCTGGATATTTGTACTTTCAGTTAATTTGATATTCTATAGTGTCCTTCAATATCACAATACCAATGTTGTCTGCTGTCTGAAAATCAAGATTTCAACAGGATTCGAGTAAAGTAGGTAGATGACATGGTGGATTTACGTTCTTCGTCATGTTTTCAATAGAAAACATTCTTTTGTGGCAAGAGAATGGACATTATCTGAGTTTACTAGTATGCCTACCGATTTATTTTTTGAACTTCCCCTATTAAGCAAGAGACGCTTACCATGACAGTATACCTGGCAATATGCACGTGCATGTACATGTTTTGAATCCTGTCAAATTCCCAATTATGTATATGTGTGGAGAGGATGAGAGACTTACTATTTGAAAAATACATATTGTCCACCATATCATTACCTCTAGGAATCTGCAAGAAAGTGGTCTCTACACTCTTAGCTTCAGTCGTAGGAACCAATATATACACGTACCTGTTCCCCATTTAGTGCACACAGTGTATGTCTCGCTGATCCAGACAACTAAGCTGTGTGTAATCAAACAATGACAATATCCAACGGTCTATTTCTATAGAAATGTTTATAAAACATTCATTTATGCATCCGTTCAACTTGTTTGTTCCTCAAACATTTGTTGAAATCCGGAATTCGAGAGATTTTGATTTACTCTCTTATTGTTAAAAACATAATAAGTTTTAAATTACAAGGAAATTATTTTCGCAACGTACTATATGTTGCTTTGCATATGAACATTTAAAATGCTGTATGAAAATTGAATGTTTTAAGTTTAGCCTGAGGTCTATGTTTGAAGTATTACTTTACATAGAAGAACGTGGTGTTTCTCTGTTTTGTTATTCTAATAAACGCTAGTTATTAGTCCTGAAGGCCGTTTTTCTAGCATTTGTTAGAAGAATTCTTCAATCGTCAACGATATTCCAAGTGTCTTTTAAATCAAATAAAAAGACACGGTGACATTAATTTGAAAATAAAAATCCCCTGACATTATAGAAAGTTAGGCACAGTGTAGATATGATTGCAAAATAAATATAGTTAACATTGTTATGATAGGAACATCGCTTGAACATTAAGATATCAAACCATCATTGAAAAATTGAGTCTTACATAATGCAGGGACCAGCAAACGTATTATCAGTTTACCATGTGAATATTGTGACATTTAACTAAAATGACTCGATAAACATAGGTTTGGTCCCATATTTCGTTTCAGTATTTAGTCACCTGTGTCTACATTTGTTTATTATGTAATTTGCACAGACTATCGTCTGCTACTACAATCCACTGTCGTTCTAATGACTGATTTAACTATGTCATGTTTGACTGTTACCCGAGTAAAGAATGTGCATCAGGGGTCAAGTAACCAGAGCTGTATGTAGCTCACCAGAGTTGGTGTCAAGGTAATGTTGAGAGGAGGTTGGATGGAGAATACCATTACTGCTACCACCATCGGAAGTAGATTATATAAGTAGTAGGGCAGTTTTTAAAGAATTTATGACAAATGTTCCTGTCCGTGATTTTTGGAGTGTCTTCTCCAGACCTTCGTGACCATTTGCCGGTTTTATCCAATGATGATACAATGGTTCTGGCAACAGCGTTGGATTTACCGCAAGGTGATTGTCATGGAGACCAGCGTACTATTGGTTACGTCTACTCCTATTATTTTTAACCGTCGGAGGCAACGCATGCGCCCAGCAAAAATCTTTGCTGATAAATAGAGTGTTTCCTTATATCAAAAATTATTATTATTATTATTATTTCAGGATGTCCGAGATGTTCACGCTAGCACGATTTGGCAGTGCACGGTATGCACCGAGAACATAATGTTTGGAATCATGTCTATTGCAGAGCGCCATGTTATAGAGCAGCACATCTCTTATGGGTGGAAGTGCCCTTATTGTGGATAAATTCGCTCACGACCAGATGGGAGAGATACCCACTGCACAAGGGGTGATCGGTCAATATTCACCAAGTGTTTCAAACAACTTGGTGGCCATGAAGGCACTAAGGCTCTGCGAGAGTGTAAAAGTTTTCTCAAAGAAGAAGCCTGATCACTTTTAACACGTCTATCATGACAGCCATTAACTTGTAAATCAAGGACAGGGACAATCCATCTGCAGCAATGTGGTCTGCGTTGAGATCAAGTTCCTGGATCAAGGGAGTGGATAAGGGTCCGTGTCCATCCCCAGCGAAGTCAATCTCTAGAGATGTTGAGAAGGAAGCTCTGTTAAAATCTCAAAATCGAGGTCGAGGGCTCGGTCAAGATCAGGGTCAAGGTCTCATATCTGGTAACATTTTATGTGGAGATTTTACTTGGACAACACGCTGATGTTGCCATTCTCTTACTTGACAACACTAGTCAATCTACTTACACACCAGTGCATATTCTGGGAGATTTTTGCTTTATTGTCTGTACTAAAAGTACACTTAGACAAATCTAGACTCTTTGGGAAATAAGAAGAACTCAAAGGAACAGACATATGCAATCTGATTAAAATACAGATCTTAATTTACCAATCCAATACTTTTCGTTTATAATGAACGAAAAGAATTGGAGTGGTAAATTAATATCTGTATTTCAATCAAATTGAAAATATATGATAGATGATTTGAATCTTAAGCGGTCAACATCCAACTTCAGATTATAGGTATTGCATTTTCACGTAATCTGCAAGAAATGGATAACTGAATTTTGAACTTAAGCTACAATAGGCAAAGAAGTTTGTCCATCTCTTTAATATTATATGAAACTTTCAGAGTGAAAAAAATTAAAAGACAGTATTATTGCTCGTACAGAAGAAAGGGATCTTTATATGACACATATATCACCCTTTAAAATATCCCAATGTCCAAAGGATAGAAGATAGATTTAGAGGTCAAAGTTTTTTCTTTTCAATGATATATAACCAAGCAATGCAGAAATGCTATCTGAACGAGATAAAATAAAACTTTCAAAACAAACAAACGAAAAAGAATTTTGACGAGATGTTTGTTATGCATTATCAGAGTTACAACATGAACCCACAAAACGAGGAGAATATCATGGTGAAAGTATCACTACTTTAGTATCTCTTACCCAAAGTGAACATTGCTCTCGATGGAAATCTTATCATCTCGATATAGTATGGGATCTGTTCCATAATGGTTTCGTATAAATCTACCATGATCTTTTTAATGTTCCTCATCTGGATCTTATTTAATATTTTTCAATGATCAATAAAATAGAAAACGGAAAGTGAATAATAGACATAAAATAATTAATGAAATTGTTATCACTCCCGTTACACAGGAAGATATAATTTCAAAAGTCTAAACTTAAAAACACTGAAAAAATGACAGTAAATATGTCTGCCGCGAATGGAAACAGCAGACATTTTATCAGCAAAACACGATATTCATAAGAATATAGCATTCTACACACATGCGACATCTAGGTTTCTGTACTCCCCCTTGACTTCCGAAGGGCCGTTCTGCGGCCGTTTTATTTGCTTATCATATCAAATTACACGCTCATCATTCCAAACAAGTTGGACCCCCTGATTTCGTAAAAAAAATATCAAACGTTGACAGAAACTAATTGTCTCAAAAGTTGGCAAAATCAATTTAAAAATGATTAAGATTGCTACTTTTGTTTATCTAAAAAATAGTTTTGTAGTTTCGAGCAAATGGTTTATAAACACCGCAAGGCTAGTTAACCCGAACATCTTCGAGCGTTACAAACAAAAATGGCAACAGAAGTATATATATACACTCCCTACTCGACTAAGTGCAGTTCCGCTACTCTAGTTTTTGTTTATCTCGGCAAATTATGTTATGATTTCTATTAGCCATTCTTAACTCGCAGATGGAATTGTCATAAAATCCGTATTTGTCAAAAAGGAACATTATGCGAATGACACGTTAGCAGTACATACTGTTCGAACGCGACATAAACACTCGAACTCACCGGAAAAGCACCTGCCTATTACTTTCGTATTCACTGGCAACATGAACGATTTTAAAAAAAATATGTCGTCTTTTCTTCTGAATACAATCATTATAATCTAACAAGAGTATATCTGGTAAAACTGTGTTGACTTTATGTAAAACGAACCAATACATGTAAATTGCTATCATATACGAAACTACCGCTTCAATCATCCCTGGCAACCTCCAAAATGGAAGGAGGTATGGACGCTTTGTAAACACTCCTCTCGTGCGCCGAGGATTTTTTTTTGACTGTGAGTTGGTATACCAACAGTACCAGTTCAATTTCAAACAATCAAATAGATATTCAAACAATACCACACTTAGTACCACAGCAATCATGGCGTTTTCTCCAACAACGATCGCAACCCAGACGACATCCGCTCGCGATCCAAGGGAGCTGTACGAGATCAAACAGAAAGCTGTGAAATACTACAATGACAATGGTGTACCGAACAAAATGGAAGATGTCCTTAACACAATGTTCTACGACAATCCGAACGATGTTTTCGGATATTTGGTAGGTGGACTGTACGTGGACATTGTTGACGTATGTCTGGTATTTCTGATATTAATTATAACATGTTGTCTAAATATAAGTTATAACCACAGAATCACGGACTGAAATCAAATAAGGGGATGGGGTTGTGGGGGGGTATTACAATTCAATATATTGTACACTGCACAGTAACCCAATGGACTGTCTCAGTAAAACCCTACACATTATCTTCAAGTGTAAAATTGACATGTGCTACAATATATATATATATATATATATATATATATATATATATATATCATCTCTTTAATTTGATAAATGGTAATGCTTGGCCTGCAGAAACCATATGCTATATGTAGAGATGTTTTATCTGCCTAGACATATATACAGCATCTACATATATATGTTCTAGTCCAAAGGATTTTGACCATTTTTTGTTTGTCTATATATTGACATACAATCAAGAAATGAATTTGATAATTACTATTCTTTTTTTTTCAGGCAAATTACTTTGAGAAATTTGCTACAACTTCTACAATATCAAAGGTAAGTGTGCTTACTAAATGTTAGATTTGTCACCTTTTATCATTCTATATTACCATTGTATGACATTGCTACTATGGAATTGGCCTTAACCATTTTGGCATTCATATGCCCATTAATGCCAGTTGAAAGTAGTTCAATTCTTGATTCACTTTGCTGGGAACTTGAGCTGGATTGACTATCAAATTTGATTCTATATTTGTGGAGTCTCCATCAGTTTTAGATTCAAGCTTGCGAATTATTTCCATAAATTTGATGATTTCCAGACAATATCCTCAATATCAAGTCAGAAACTTCAAAAATATAATCTAATATTTTCACTCAATTTGTGTTAATTATTCTTAAACTGAATTGATCGAAGAACATGAAGATATAAGAAGATGCTTAATAGCAAAGATGGTTTAAGTAATCAACTGTAACACTGGTAAATTACTCGCAAAATACTGCTCAACTAAGAGAACTACTCTTTAGCTTGATTAGCTGAGCTTCAGATTAGTTAGCCATGGGTCCCAGGTTTGAATCATAACAGAAGCATTGAAATAGACAATGACATCTGTTAGATAGTGCCCATACAATACAATGTGTTACTTTCACAAGCATCGCTATTACACGAACACGAGAAGGAGTTATTTTCTGGAGGGGCACTATGTATCCTTTGTAAATAGTAGCTGCAAAACTGCTAGAAAGAACATCCCTTTAGCTCGATCAGTTGAGTGTCAGACTAGTAAACTAGGGGTCGTAGCTTTCAAATCCTAGTGGGGGCATTGAAATAAATAATGACCTCTGTTACATTTGGAGCCCAAATTCCAGATATATGAAAAAAAAATTCTTTCATAAATTTGAATGTAATAGTCGTATGACATTTTTTCTTTAGGTTAAAGCAAGAGAAGCATATGATAGCAAAGGCCAAGCCACTGTACAAACAGAAGTATTCTGCACTGTAAAGAACAATTTAAGGGTATGTACAGTGTAAGGTACTGCTATAGGTTAATATTGTATATATACTGTATTTATTTTGTTGTCGAATATGTGCTGCTGTCTTGAATAACTTTGCATGTCTAGCAAGTTTGAGAACACTGGTTCAAATTGAATAACTACACATTTGTAGTTAAGTGTTGCTAAATGATAACTTTAAAATGGAGACTTGCTTATTCATATGGTTGTGTCTTTTTCAATCATTTTATAGCTGTGATGACTTTCCCATCGTCAAATCTTTCAAATAATGCATGGTAACACGAGATGACTCCTTCACCATTGTTAGTTCAAACATGCATTGTTTGAGCTCTTTTGTCATAAAATATTTACAAATTCATTATTTCTTTGATGATCTGAAAATCTTTAAAAAAATCTGAAAATGTTTATAATCAATTGAAACAAAATCTTTTTATCATTTTGGTAGGGGATTATTGTTTTCCTCAGTTTCTTTTAGCTGTGTATTCTGTATCATTACCCTTTATCTATCACTGTTTAATTTTTCTATAACACTGTTAGGCCTTTCTCTGTTATTGATATTTCTGTTTATCCTTTTTTATCACTTATTTCTTTTTTCTGTCAATGCTAATTCTGTCTCTGTCAATGTCTGGTTGTTTGATATCACTGTTTCTGTATTATAGTATATTCATTTTCTGTTGTGGTTTATTTTCTCAGTATTACTGTTTATTCTTTCGGTATCACTGATTGCTGTTTCTCTGTAGGTGAAGTAATTTGTTGCTGAGTGCCTGTGGATTAAGATCTTTCTCTGTAGCTGTTTGATTGGTTCTGCAGCTGAGTACCACTGTGGCGAGATCTTTCTCTGTAGCTGTTTAATAGGTCTTGTAGCTGAGTGAGATTTTTCTTAGTAGCTGTTTAATTTATTGTGTAGCTGAGCGCCACTTTGACAAAACCTTTCTCTGTAGCAGTTTAATTGATTCAGACTCTGTAGCTGAGTGTCATTATGGTGAGATCTTTCTCTGTAACTGTTTGATCTGTTGTTTAGCTGAGTGCCACTGTGGTGAGTCCATCCCCCAACAGTCACTTGCCCGACAACACAAAACCTGAGGACAGAGAAGCTGACGATACAGAACGACAGAATAGTGTGACTGCTGCAGTCAACATTCTCAACACCGACCTAAACAACAGATTGACCGGTTTGGACCCAGCACAGCAACAGGAGGTGGATGATGTGGTCAGGTACATTTAAACTACATAAATAAATGGTTGTATGATGGTGTTAAAACATGACCTTTGGGCTGGCTGAATGCCAAAGTTTATTAGAATTAAGAATTCAAATCTTGATTATAAGCAAACCATCTGAACCATGTACATTTGCACTGTCACTGTTATTTATCAGAACTATAGCAATATTCAATGTGTATATACATGGATGTTTGTGTGTGTTGTCAGAGCATTCATGATACTGGCAATTTGACATTGGGTATATATATATATTTACTAGAATTGAAGAAAATTGTCAGTGACCACTAACCAGACAGTGAAAGTTAATAAACTGTAAAAAAACAAGATGTGCCCTAAACCATCAGTGCTTTCCTTTTCATCTTCAGATGTTTTACATAGATACATTTATGATGTCATCAATAATATTACACTGAGTCTCATAATTACGTCATAGTGATATCAGTGATAATAATTACTGTGATATATTTTCATATAGCACAGTATGTAGATATATGAATCTATATGAATTTATATCATCAAGATAATCTTTATAAGGCCCAACAATACAAACTGGTAGATAATTAAAATGGAATAAAAGAAATATATATTTATTAAAATGGGTCATTTCAGCAAGTTTTATGCAGAGCTTCAGACTGCCGAGGAAGAGAGACTGGCAAAGGAGGCTGAAGCAGCGGCCACAGAGGAAGGGTCAACGAAGGATGTGGAGACCGCAAGTCAAGCCAGTGGAAGCAAAGGGAAGCAACCCAAGTCAGCAAGCAAGTATGTATATATGTAATGGGCCCAATGCTGTGGTAATATTGACACTTATTGGGATAGCATGAATGTTAGGAGGTCGGTCGTCATCTTCTTAAAAATTTTGATCAAGTGTCACAATATTGGGGTATTACTAGTTTATATGAAAATAGAAAAACTAGAAGTTTTTTTAAAAAGATCTTTTCTTTGCATACTGCCATAGGTGACAAGTAGCAATCAGATAACAGTCAATTCATGGAAAAGATATAAAAAATTAATTGTGCATAATAGCATAGTGCTATTTCTTTAGAAACTCTTATAGCTGAAAATTATACAGAATATTTCATTTGCTTATTTCAAATAAAGATAAAACAGGTTACCATAAATATCATGATTAATCAATGTTTTTGTATACACAATGATATTTTCACAATTTGTACTACCACCGCTTAAGTTATCTCTATCCAATTATATCAAAGTTGTTTCATCATACAAGAAATTTATTAGTCTATCCTTGCAAAATTATCAAAAAAGCACAAATGAAGAGGAAAAAATGGAATATATTTATGGTAGCTTAGTTTTAATATCAAACCAGTTTTACAAGTTTTAACTTGCTTTTCCTTTTTCGTCTCTCTATACTGTAGTGATGAAAGGTATAGAAACGGGTACCAGTATCTATGTAGAAATCAAAAATAATTTGATAGGATGCTTGTTTTTTTTTCAATTTGCCTAATATTACTAATATATCTGTCTTGTTGAAGTACTAAATGTGATACCAGGAATTAATTTCATACAGTCATTAATTAATGTTAGAGTTATGATATTTGAAGTAATTTTGATAATTTGAGGGTTGTCTGTGGTTTTAACCATATATGTAACAGTAACATATGATAATAAGTACATGGTAAGGGTATACTGTACTTTGAAATAGTTAAGTTTTAAAATGATAGGTGTTTCTGATTTTTTTATCGTCTTGTAAACATCAATGAAGTAAAAATGGATTTTTTGTTAAGATTTTCTCATAAAATTGTTTCATATGAAATGAACATTCAATGTGATTTAGGTAACCTCTGTATTAATTTGCTATATATTCTTATAAATCTTCTATGGGAAGCCATAGTCGGTGAGAGGTTTTATAAGGAATTTTCTAGGTTTTCTTCCCTATATCCAGGAGATAAAAAAAAGTCTCATTTCAAATTATGATTAAGATAATCTGAGCAGGTGGCCTGGCAAAGATACACATATGAATTATTTATGAAATAACACAGGAGGATGATACATGATAGTATCACATAGTTTTGGATTTTTATAAGTTTTTTTTCAATATTAGGTAAGATTTAATTGGCATAGATATATTTTTATGAATAGGTCTGAATGTAAGTGTTATTGATAAACACTAAATGTTTATGTAATTTTTAACGCACATAGATGGCATTAGAAGTTTAATTTGGAAGTGTTCTGATGATAACAAAGCTGGGTATGGTGTATATTAATTATGAAGTTTATATTTAAGCACTAATAATTATGAACAGTTTTCTTAGGTAGGTAGATTTAGAATTAATTTGACATTGTTTATTTTTCTTATAACTAATTCAGAGAAACTAATTTAGAAACATGTTTTTTTTAGCTGTGTGAAGTTAGCTCAACATACGACATTCGACATTAGACATTCAGAATTTGAATGTTGTGCCAGCTCGACATTAGACATTAGACATTCAGAATTTGAATGTTGTGCCAGCTAGACATTAGACATTCAACATTCAGAATTTGAATGTTTTGCCAGCTCGACATTAGACATTAGACATTCAGAATTTGAATGTTGTGCCAGCTAGACAATAGACAACATTCAGAATTTGAATGTTTTGCCAGCTCGACATTAGACATTAGACATTCAGAATTTGAATGTTGTGCCAGCTCGACATTAGACATTCAACATTCAGAATTTGAATGTTGTGCCAACTCGACATTAGACATTAGACATTCAGAATGAATATTGTGCCAGCTCGACATTAGACATTCAACATTCAGAATTTGAATGTTGTGCCAGCTCGACATTAGACATTCAACATTCAGAATTTGAATGTTGTGCCAGCTCGACATTAGACATTCTACATTCAGAATTTGAATGTTGTGCCAGCTCGACATTAGACATTAGACATTCAGAATTTGAATGTTGTGCCACATTCAGAATTTGAATGTTGTGCCAGCTAGACATTAGACATTCAACATTCAGAATTTGAATGTTGTGCCAGCTCGACATTAGACATTAGACATTCAGAATTTGAATGTTGTGCCAGCTCGACATTAGACATTCAACATTCAGAATTTGAATATTGTGCCAGCTCGACATTAGACATTCAACATTCAGAATTTGAATGTTGTGCCAGCTCGACATTAGACATTAGACATTCAGAATTTGAATGTTGTGCCAGCTCGACATTAGACATTAGACATTTAGAATTTGAATGTTGTGCCAGCTCGACATTCAACATTCAGAATTCGAATGTTGTGCCAGCTCGACATTAGACATTAGACATTCAGAATTTGAATGTTGTGCCAGCTCGACATTAGACATTCAACATTCAGAATTTGAATGTTGTGCCAGCTTTACATTCGACATTCAGAATTTGAATGTTGTGCCAGCTCGGCATTAGACATTAGACATTCAGAATTTGAATGTTGTGCCAGATCGACATTGGACATTCGACATTCAGAATGTGAATGTTGTGCCAGCTCGACATTAGACATTAGACATTCAGAATTTGAATGTTGTGCCAGCTCGACATTAGACATTAGACATTCAGAATTTGAATGTTGTGCCAGCTAGACATTAGACATTCAACATTCAGAATTTGAATGTTTTGCCAGCTCGACATTAGACATTAGACATTCAGAATTTGAATGTTGTGCCAGCTCGACATTAGACATTCAACATTCAGAATTTGAATGTTTTGCCAGCTCGACATTAGACATTAGACATTCAGAATTTGAATGTTGTGCCAGCTCGACATTAGACATTCAACATTCAGAATTTGAATGTTGTGCATTAAGAATTTGAATGTTTTGCCAGCTCGACATTAGACATTAGACATTCAGAATTTGAATGTTGTGCCAGCTGACATTAGACATTCAACATTCAGAATTTGAATGTTGTGCCATTTAGACATTAGACATTCAGAATTTGAATGTTGTGCCAGCTAGACATTAGACATTCAACATTCAAATTCTGAATGTCTAATGTCTAATGTCGAGCTGGCAAAACATTCAAATTCTGAATGTCTAATGTCTAATGTCGAGCTGGCAAAACATTCAAATTCTGAATGTCTAATGTCGAATGTCGTATGTTGAGCTAACTTCACACAGCTGTTTTTTTTTCATGTTTTATGTATATTCAACTTCCAAAAAAAGTTGGAATGAACATGGAAAATATCAATATTCAAATTTTGTCTCTATACAAGGCTACATTATCGGTATTTTCCTTTGAATCATGCAGAATATTTATAAGTAGCAGAGTTTTAGAAATCAAGTAATTTTTATCGTGATATATGGTATGACCAGAAAACCTTATCATTATCAGACACGCATATTTTGATTGATTAATTCATTAGCTTGATTGTGTATTTTTTGCATGTAAATGTTCACAGATTTATTTAATCCTGGACCTTAACATTGTTTGATATATACATACATATACATCCTATATCCTGTATATCATTATATATGAATTAGTAATTGTTTTATTGTTTAAATGATAGATTGTCCTTTTTATTTCAATGTTATCAATTTGCCAGAATTTTATAACTACACTTATTACTGATTGTGAAGTACAATATCCTGCAAAAGTTCCATTCATAAAGGCACTAAAATATGTTTTGGTCTTTTAGAGGTTTTTAAAGTGGTATCTTAAGGAAGGCATATGAAGCTATTTTGGAACAAAATGTAAATAAACACCTTACACTTTTCATACCTGATTTTCATATTGAAAACTGAATATTAAGGCTTTTTTGTAAATATCACTATAATAGAATGTTCAGGGGGCATTGTGTGTCATAGGGTTCAGCAACCTTCATCCTGTATCATATAATCTGTTGAAATCATTTTTTAAAATCCCATCACCCTCTTACATGTATAGTGGTGCCCTGCTTCACATGTATCATTTTTGAAATTCATTCTACCAGATGTGCATGTTGTTTTCACCATAACCTTTAGATCTACCTGACTCTAAGTTTTGAATTCCTCGCTTACAATTTTTTTCCAGGGGAAAAGATCAAAAGAAGTGAGTGAGCGACTCTAAGACTCTGATAACACATATCACCCTCTGTGTCTACTACCAGATAGATAGAAAGCTTAACGTTGTACCTCATGTTTCTGTCACTCTCAGAACCTATACAGCAGGCTCAAATACACTGGCTAAATCACTTACTGGTATCATACTTCAGCATAATGATACAACTATACTTCCATTTTCTGAATCTTGAACCTATTGTATTTGTATTTTTTTGTCAATAAAAGTTATTGCAAAAAAAAAGGGGGGGGGGGGAGGGGGAGTTAAAAAAGGCAACTAATATAAAGTTTAGAGACTAGCATAATCTAATTATCTATTTATGAGTGTACATGTAATTCCATAATTCTTTAAGTTTTGCAAGGGTCACAATAGTTTTTGTTCAGTATTCATTTGATTGGCTATATGAATAAACGTTTTTTTTTATCCTCTAAATCTTGAAGTATCATGCTTGCTAGAGTTATCTCCCTTGAAGAATTTTTGTCTCCAGTTATATTATATTTTATTAAAAACATGAACTCCTCATTTTTAAAAGAAAAAGATATTTGGGTTCCCAAAAATAGTTCTGAATTGGAATTAGTTACACTTTATTTCAAACGTATATACTGGTTAACTACAATTTAATAAAAATCTCTGGCATAGTGATCAAGTTTTAGCCATGCTAGGAGCAACTGCCAAATTAGATAAATATCACATTAAGATATCCTGAAAACCATTCTAATTCTATCCTCATATTTTTCTCTTAATTTGTCTTTTCATTTATTTAAATATCAAATTATTGTTATTATTGAATAAGCTTTTGATAATATATCCATTTTACTTATATGTCTACATTTGTTCAGATGTACCTGAAATATGTTTTTTTTTTTTCTACTGTATATTTTTTTGTTTTTGTTTATATAATTTTTTCTATACTTCAAGGTTCATTTCCACAATTTGTTTTGCTATTTTTGGTGTTTTTAATAATAAGACAAAGGTTTTATAATAGATTTTGTATTTTCAAATAAATTCAAATTATTTGATGTTGTCCTTATTGTATTCCAATTATTAAAATTTACTCGTTGCTACCACAATTTGGTCATTGAAGAGAAGAAAGGGTAAAACACAGTGGAAATAAGACCAAGTAAGTAAACGATGTTCAATTTCAAGTCTGTTTGAAAGGACAATTGTTTCCTTGAGAAAATCTATGGTAATTTTCAGCAATTTCTTTGGTAGTCTGTGTATTTTTTTCTTTTTTTTTAATTTGTGAAAAGAATTCAAGGTACCTTCATTTTTCATGTATATTTAATGTATGGTGACATGTTATTTGATAAAAAAGACATTATGGAGGAATTTAAACAAGCCAAGATGTCACCAACAATAATGCTTGAAGCTCAAAATAGAAAACATAATATTTTGTAACATTTAAAACAGAAAAAAAAATCTTTTTTTTTAAATTTAAAAATACATATGATAATAAGAGTATGGGTATGGTAAATATTGTGCATTAAGTAACTTCCAGAAAATGAAATAATACCAGTTTAACAGGAATTTTGAAAGAATTATACATGTAATAGTAAAGTACTTGTCAATGGTTGTTGAAGAAATGAAAGGGAGAAAAACATTGGAAATAAGTCTGTGTAAGTCTATAGTGTTTGTTTTATTACACTGTTAACGACATTGTTTTCAAATATGAAACTTTTTTTTATGTTTGTCATCATTATCATGCAAGGGCTTATAAGTTTTATTCAAGTTTGGGTTAAAAAATTTATTTGAAAAAAAAAGTTTAAGAAAATACTAAAACCAAAACATTTTGGGAAGGGTTAGTTTATGAATTTTCTCACTGAAAAAGTACAAAGGGTAAGTTTCTGTAATTTATCTTTCACTGTAGTGATGTCACAGAAATTGTTGAACATATACAAAGTATCAAAGGAAAAAGTACGCAGAATTAGTTTCTATGATTTATCTTACGTCGAGTGGTGTCACAGAAACTGATGAACATGAACATGGTATTAAATCATTTTTCATGAACATCAAAAAATATTTACAGTTATGGCATAGAGACATCACAGAACCAATTGTACACAATAGTAACATAACAGCACCAGTGGTATGCAGTTGTGGCATCACAGAAACAGTTGTACACAGCAGTGACATCACAGAAACAGTTGTACACAGCGGTGACATCACAGAAATAGTTGTACACAATGGTGGCTTCACAGAAACAGTTGTACACAGCAGTGACATCACAGAAACAGTTGTACACAGCAGTGACATCACAGAAACAGTTGTACACAGCAGTGACATCACAGAAACAGTTGTACACAGCGTTGACATCACAGAAACAGTTGTACAAGTGGTGCAATCACAGAAATAGTTGTACACAGCAGTGACATCACAGAAACAGTTGTACACAGCAGTGACATCACAGAAACTGTTGTACACAGTGGTGACATCACAGAAACAGTTGTACACAGCAGTGACATCACAGAAACTGTTGTACACAGTGGTGACATCACAGAAACAGTTGTACACAGCAGTGACATCACAGAGACAGTTGTACACAGCAGTGACATCACAGAAACAGTTGTACACAGCAGTGACATCACAGAAACAGTTGTACACAGCAGTGACATCACAGAAACTGTTGTACACAGCGGTGACAGTTTTACACCGCAATGACATCACATAAACAGTTGTATGCTGAAGTGACATCACAGATGATATTGTACAAAGAAGTGACATCACAAAAACAGTTGTAGGCAGTTGTGACATCAGGAACACATTTTATAGGAAAGAATTCTTGCTTATAAAGTTTTTTTGTCAGATATATTTCTAAATACATTTTACCCCACAGTGATTTTATACAGTTCAGTGTCACTGAATATATAGAAATAAGATAAAATAATTTTGTTCGAACTACAAAATGTACTCTTATATGTAATGAGATGATAACAAAATTGAATTGAAGAAAGTAGTAAATAAGATTTTACAAAATTTGAAAAAATCGTTGGAACGTAGTTACCTGATGAGTTTATTATGTTAAAATTTGATTTTATCTACTGACTATTTGTATGGATGAAGGTTTAATTTGGTACTGGTGACTGGTCAACTGCAGGCTGATGTTTATTGTTATTTATTTTGTCAGGTTGACTAGAACATCATTTGCATGCATTTCTTATAACACACCATCTTGTCCTTTGACCCATTTATTCAGCCAATCAGAATTGTGGTGGAACATATCAATATAATATTGAATTGCAAAATATTTGTTATGCATGGAAATTAGCATAATATCTGTAATTATTTGTTGAGTAATACAATAAAAGGCAACTATTGAGCAAAATAATTTTGTTGAACCTTTTACAAGGATTCAACTGTTGCTAGATTTTATTTTGCAAAGATGTAACTTTCAAAATCAGGATTCTAGAAAATGTTAGTTAGGTATATGTGTTTTTCAATGAATTTAATTGATAGTGTATCAAATTGTCCAGTATGTTCCATCCCAGTTGTGATGGGAAATGAGCTCCAATTTCTGATGTATAAAACATACAAGACTGGATATTCACATTCTTTTCAATATATTTTAAAATTGCATAAATTATCACTTTTGAGTTTATATATGAAAAAATATACATCGTATATTTAATTGTGCAAAAATGTGAAGACAATTTGAATAAAAAGAAATGATATTGGCAAGATTGGGATTATTAAGTAAAATTTTGAATATACATAAACAGATAACTGCATAAGAATCATTTGGAAATTTTGTTTTATCTCTCTAGAAAATGGAGCAAAGTCACATTATAAACTGTACTATATTTTGTATTCCATAATGTAACTTTTGCTTTCACACAGTTTCTAGTTATTTGCATGCGCTAAAAGGACTGGTATACCTCTTTATGAATAGGAATTACATTTGTTGAAAAAATGATTTAGTGTTTTATTTTCTTTTTTGATTCATGCATTACTGTTTCAGGGGTCATTTTTTCAGTAATCATTGTTTATACATTTGTTTGTTATTTATTTTGATACTTACTTATGAACGTACGTGTATATTGTCTTTTAAGTAAAAAATTACATCATACATGTTTATCAGATTCGTTTCAAAGAATTTTCTTCAAAATATAAGGATCAAAATCTAAAAGATTTCATATTATGACTTCATCTGAAATTGTGGTTTTATGTCTAGTTTGTACTTCAATCTTTGCTATGATAAAAATAATTGATGCTTAACCATATAAAAGAAAAACAAAATAGGAAATATTTTAGAATTTTTCATATCAATTATGGGTGCGCTGTAAGGTTTGAAATGTTTTTAAAATGATGGAAAGGTAAATTATTCAAATAAAAAATAACACAGGGTTAAAATTACAATTTTCTGGTCACAGAAAGGGAGGTAAAAGCCAGATGTCAGTTGCTGTGCCGATGGAGCCTACAGAAAAGTTCCTGCCAGGTGCTAGCGCTGTTAATGCCATGAGTCGTGCAGCATCAGTTGCTGCTGCTCATATACAACAGATACCAGTATTTCAACATATTGCTGGGCTTCGATTCACGGAGGTGAGAAACTTTATTTTGTGAATGTCATTGTTATGACACACAGTTGTCAGGGAACATTCACCATCTATAAAAACAAGTTTTATTCCATACAGATTTATCATCTAATTTACACAATGATATTTGCAGGCGCCTTTTGAAATGACAATTCCATCACCAATGGTGACAATTATACAGAGTGGAAGAGCAGCACTCGGAAAATCAAATTGTGTAAAGGAATTTATGGTGGTACCTAAACCAGGCATGCCTCTTTCACAGGTACAGTTACCATAGCAACAGAGTTTTGAAATTACCTGATTAAGACAAGCAGCATTCACACAAGGTGTTCAAATATTTTTTTCATAACAAAATTAAAATTTGAATCATCACAGGTTAAGGACAGTGGTTTTAAAGATGAAATTGAATATATGAAATTAATTTGCTTTATTTCAAATAATTTTAGAATCAAAAAGTCTTTTCATATACCACCCTAAATATTGATGACACATTATAAGCCAGTCCAATGATTGCCCACAATAATTCATGTCATAGTATTTCGCTAAAATTTTATTTCTAGTATTGTTAAAAAATAAGCCCATGCCTGACAATAAGCCCACCCATATCTATCATGATATCTATACAGAAGGCTATTCCTATAATCAAACCACTGACCTACACTTTGTGTCTAAGATTATATGATGCCCCGCCCTTCCCTTGAACATATTGCAGGCAAACTTTGGTATGTTACTTGGTTAAAGCTTGATGTTAGTTTTCTTGTCCTGTTTTGCAGAGTTTGCCACTAATACAAAAAATCTACAACTATGTTGGAAAAAGTTTATTTACAAAGTCTGGGGTAAGTATGACCTAATTACTGAACAGAACCACTACTTTCTCAATACAATTGTACCCATGTACCGGTAATTACAATTTTTTTGGTATTATGATGTTCCAGGAACAAAAGGGAGATAGTGATCTCTTGAATAAAGTGATTCCATCTAGATATTTGTTGAGAAATTTTTATTGACTTTCTCTTTGACGTTTTATTAGTACACATGTACTTACTTGAGATCTCATTGATTTTATCAGGTTGCTGCCAAGTTAACTAATGATATTGGAGCTTTTTGTCCGACATTTGACCGACCAGAGCAAGGTCTTGATCTCCTACAAGAAGCAATTACCCAATCAGAACTGACCGTCGGTGAAGATTTCTTTTTAGCAATCAATTGTGCAGCATATGAAATCTTTGACTATGTAAGTTAAGATAATTTCTATACAAAAGCTTTGTTTTTTGTGAAATAGAGACGTATTAGCTAGTTTGACTAGCTGTTTTATCTTGAAGACATCCAAGGATGAAAACATTTTAAAAGTTTGGGCCGATTTGTCTGATTGGCTTTTCTACAAAATTTTACTTTTTGTAGCACTAAGGTTGATAGATGTTTTGTTGATATTAGCAGATTAGAATGTATATGTTTTTTAAATCAATATCATATTAGCGACTGGGCAGGAGTATTTGGGAAAATACCAGTTTTAAACACAGCACAGAAGTAAAATTCACTTAAACAAATGTTATTGTAAACAGATATTACATAAAGCCAGGACCATGACTCCATTTATTATACTTTAAATAATGTCTGTGAGTTAAAATATAAGACACTGGTTAAGTAGCATTTGTTTATGCTAAAATTACAGCTACAATATTCCAGTAATTATCTACAAACACTGAACTCTAGGTCGATAAACATTGATAAGTACAGGACTTTGTTTCCATGCATTCATTTGTAGTAAATCCACAGTATGATCTTTTCAACCTCAGTACCTTAAATACCATAATCAATATGTATATGTACAGGACCCTGTAACTGGCAAAGAGCCTCCCGCTCCGTTCCCCGGACAGGACATGCATAAGGTAGCACCCAAACACCTGCCTTATCAAAGGGCAGTAACTCACTCACAAAGTGTGTGTATCTGCCTATAATCATAACTTGGTTTTAAATGCTATTTCACAGTGTGATTTTCTTTGGGTGAAGTTTATTATAAAAAATATATATATATATTAATTGAATATCAAAGAATTCAATTATTGGATTTGTAAAACTAGATAGCTTAATTAATAGGTAAATCCTAACCAAGATTGATAAAAAAATTCATGAATATCTTGTGTGTTGAATATCAGAAATCTGTTTAGAATCATAACATGGGTGATGTTGCTTTGTATTAACCTTAAATGTAAGTTAAACCCTAGTAAGCAATAACTTACTTATGTAGTGTTACTCATGGTTGGTTTTGGAAAAATGTTTTTAATTTTCAATACAGGTTTTTTTTTATCTAGAGGTGTTTAGGTTGCATTACTTCTATATATAGTGTTATAAACTTTTGAAATAAATATATCATTGATGATAAAAATATCTTTGATTTTGACATTGTGATACTTCCAACACAATGCACAGGTATTCCAATAACCTTTTGATATAGAAAAAGGAGATGTTATAAATTACTTAATTGATAAAGTTTACAGATTGGTACGGCATTTTGATAACAAAGAGTGTAAAATATGTGAGATTTGGTAAAAAATAATGAAAAATTTTATTTTGAAATTATAAAAAACACCCACCATTAAATGATTCTGTGTGACAAACTTTTTATATCATAACATGAATGAAGTTTGTGTTTTGTGACTTGTGTTTGATAAAAGTTATACCATAGTTCATATTGAAACTAACGCTTCTTCATTTCTGTAAAATTGTCTGATGTGTAAAGCCAACTATTTACCTGATTGTGTTTTCATTATCTGAGTGAAGTGTTGATATTACAGGAAGACCAAGCTGTGAAGGTGTGTGTTGTTGTTGATATGCTTGTGTTGTATTTGTTTTGATTTTATAGCAAATTAACAAACATTGTTATTGCGATGCAGTTTTTTTTCAATATATGAAAAAATGTATTCTTATAGTTTTGATTGCTTTATTTTGTATACAGAAAGGTTTTTTTATGATTTTTTTTGAAAAGGAAAATCTGAATGTTTCACTTGTTACAAATGCCTGGAGTATTATGTACAGAGCTTAATAAGAATTCTGATATTTGATTTATCAAATAACACACTTGACTTTTTAATTAATGCAATTTTATATTCAAGCCAATTACAAAATTGTGCTGCTTTGATAATCACATTTTAATTATTGCGGAAGAATAATAATCACTTTTTAAATCATTCTTTTTAGATATATGATGTAAATAATTTTGTTACATACTGTATTTTCAGTTGTGATGTCTTATTGAAAAGAAAATAAACTAAAATGTTTTATAAAGAATGTCAAATAACTCAGAATCATCAAGGAAAAATGAGATCCTTTCTGGTGTAAGATGCAGACAAAAAAGTTTTCTCCATTTTCATCAATGCATGTTTTACAAATGCATTAAATCCCTTTCAAACCGAACTGTAAAGTTAATTACTTTGTGCTTGACTACAGTTGTTACTGTCAATGATTAGTCTACACAGTAACCATGGGCTTAAACACTGTAGAGTACCAGAACTTACTGGTCTGTGTAAAGTGATGTTTATCATTATGTAAAATAGAAAGTGCATCTTTCATTCATTGAATATAGTATTATTCGGGCTACAATGTAAATATGTAAGGATCTGAATTATTATAAATGAAGATGAATATCAGATTTAATCTGTGTGATAAAGGTAATGTAGGCCCATTTCGAAAACTCATGTCAGAATAATTTTTCGATCAGAAATAATTCATTATGTGATGATTGGATTGTTTACTTCTGTTACAGGAGAAAGGTAAATATGAACTCCTCACAGGTCAGGCAAAGGTCGCTGATGATGTTGTAGAATTCTGGGTAGAGCTGCTAGGGCGGTATCCTTCTGTCATCGCTGTCATTGACCCTCTGAGAAAGCAGGTAGGTGTGAGCTTATAAGTATAGAGATAACAGTGTGTTATTAAGTATATATCAGTAATGCTCACACAAAGTCAGAGAAGTATTGTTTGATACAGCATTACACCCTTAACCATATCACAAGAATAAGAAGTTGGAGCACATTGCACACTAAGATTTTTTCGAGTTTTTCAAGATCATTGACAGATATCATTGTCTTTTTAGGAAAAAGAACACTGGATGCGGTTGAGTGACCGTATCAGTGACCAGTGCTTTGTGGTGGGCAGTCACACATACGCACGGCCAGGATTACTGAAGGAAGAGGAGTTGACCCCAGACTTTGTGACCAGTGGAATTGTCCTCAGTCTTGATCGTCTTAATACTGTTAGTGATACTATCCAGGTGGCCAAAAAACTCCAAGGTACAAAAAAAAAAAAAGATTTAAAAGTAGTCTTTACCATTGTTAGATCAGGTCAAGGGAAACTTCAATGATAGTCAAATGTAGTTATCGTATCTATTCTAATAAATCACATTTTCTGAAATGATGCAGTATATCTTGTATACTTCCAGAAAATCAGGACACTTTATACAATGTGTTGTGAAAATAATGTATTTATCAGCTATAAGTCAAGGGGACCTAAAAATGATGTGTGGATCAAAATAGCTGGTGGGATTGAGCTTAATATAGGTCCATGACATTACATGAGTTGGTGTTTGTACTGAAAATTTAATACATATACATGTAGGTGAGCATATTACAAGGCTTGGGCTCTTTCGCTGAATTGTCATGATACATGTATATACTATTTATGTGAAGTACTCTTCTTTGATCTTACAGATGCAGATAATCAAGTGATTATGTCTTGTTGTTATGGAGAAACAACAGACACTTTCCTGGCTGATTTTGTAAGTTGATTCATATAATTTGATCTGTAGTATGACTCAGTCTGAATTATTATTATGTTCTATCAACTTTTTAATGAATAAAATAGATCTGGAGTTGATCATTGACTTCAGACTGATAAAAAAAAATGATAGAACGACAGAATGAGTCAGACTAATGTATGAGTCTTTTTCAGGTGTTTTTCTTGCAATTTTGTGAATGGTCAAATACACAGGGTTTAATGGGTTATATTAAAACTGTTTTGTCTGCTTGACAGAAAGCTGGCAATATTAGGTTTTAACATTTAAATAAAAGTCTATTTGTTGAAAATATCTTATTTTCAAAGAATAGATATCTTAAATGGAACACATGCAAAAGTTATATCTTGTTATGATTTCTTAGAATTACCATTGAATCAGTACATAAACTAGAATTTACCAATATTTAGCATCAGAACTCAGACGTGTAGACCAGTAAAACATCTATCCCACCCTTGGTTTAGGGTACAACCCCTAGCAAACAGAACAATGGCTAGGGGTTAGCCCTGTGGTCAAACTTAAAAGTTGTATCAATTATAACAAAGATTTAAAACAGATTTTAGATAACAGAGCTGTTACTTTTTGATACATACAATATAGAACATGGAAAAAATAAGTTCAATTAAAAAATTAGATTGGTTTAATTGAGAGAAATTCTTAAAAAACATCTTTGTGGTAACTTATTTATCAATCGTCAAAATACTGGTTGTGTATTAAGAACTTCTATTCTATAAACAATACCAACCTGAAAAATGTTTCAAAATGCAGTAGTTTGATAATTTCTTAATGTTTTTGATCATCAGCAACTGATTTCCAATTCTGTAATTACTGTACAAGAGTTTGTAAAATTTTTAGCTACAGACATTTTCTTTATTTTTCAAATAAAATACCATTTGTTTCCCTTACCCAGGCCGTCGGGGTAAAGGCTCGATTCCTTAAGGTTGGTGCCCCAGCACGGGGGGAGAGGACAGCTCAAATCAACAGACTGCTACAGATCGAAGGTATGCTGGAAATGTCAGGTAGACTGGCTGCTCAAGGAGAATTTAAATTCCCTCACATTACCCCACCTCCTCTCCCAGAGCCTGAAGAAGGTGAGGAGGATGTTGCGAAAAAGGATGTTACACCTCGTAAGAAGTAAGACGCTCTTAACCGGATTACGGACAGTTCAAAATAAAGAAAAAAAAGGCAACTGCATGAACAATATCATTGAATGTGAAATATTGATGAAAGTCATGATATTAACATTTGAAATATCATTCTGAGTAAAGTTTTGTAACAATACATGTATTGAATGAATGACAATTCATTGATGTTAAGTAAACATCAAGCTGGTTTCTGCATATTCATTGAAGGAATATAATTATACAGTCTCTAGTTGTCTGTGATGTTAATCCATGTGAATAACATGACTGCTCCTGGGAACAGCTTCTTACAAATTCTGGAATTTATCATTATTTATTTCTCCAGGGTTCATTGCTTGAATATTCATTGGTTTCCGTCCATAACACATAAACTGTGATACAAATAGTACTCTTCTGAAATTTAATGATCTTAGTACACATTTTTCAATTCATCAATATTTTTAATGTTGTATTTTATATATTGTTAACTATTTGATTTGATAAATACAGAAATGTAAAAAGGACATTATCAAATAAAAAATCTATACATGTTTTCAGTGTTGAACTTTTGAATAGAAATCAAGCAGGGAGTTTGTATAAGTGTATCAATTTGCAGTAGTAGGTAATTTTGAGCTCACCTGGTCCAAAGGAGGTTCTGGGATAGGAGGGGTGGAACCCATAGGGTAAATACAGCAAATTCTTGAAAATTCTATTCCTCTTATAGGAATGATTGGATTTTGACCAAATTTGATCTGAAGCATATTTAATTGAAAAGGAATCAATTTTGCCAGGTTATGAGTATCCATAAGCTTTGATTAAGCCCGTTCATATACAACCATTACCCTCCTTTTTCTTATGTACTATGATTAGACATTTGAGACTGATGACAGAGAAAATTGTCATTTTGAGGTCATTATTTTCATGTCTTGAACATAACTTTTTTTTCCATCAAAACTCTCTTTTAAAGTTTTTGGGGTAAGTTTTTGAAAGACTTCCAAGTATGCATCTTTCACCTATCCTTTTAAGCATATGCAGTCATTAGAGATCTACATGTAAGACTGGTCTTATTTGTTTGTTTGGTTGTTTTGGGGTTTTTTTTTTGAGGAGGGGAGAAGGGCTTTTTGCATCCAAACCCCTTCTATTTGGCATAAGCAATAATTTAACATGTTGTAATAGCTGCTAAAGGTGTACTTGGCAAGGATTTATTGTACTTGATACAGAGAAAACACAACTTCATGTCATGGTTACTTAGCCTACCAAGTTTGAAAAAGATTGGTTGAAAACTTTGAGAAGATCTTCAAACAAGAGACAATAAGGGGCAGTAACTCTTCAAAATACAGTTGAATCAAACTGCCATTCAGAAAGACACAACTTCCTGTCATGTATTAAGGCTGCCAAGATTGAAAAAGTTGGAGTTGATCTCCAAACAAATGAAAGTTTATGGAGGACAGACAACACCATACCATAATACCTCCTGTTAAAATTTTTGACATGTGTATGAAAATAAGGGAGGGGATCCTCCATACAATGTAATTTTCAAAACTGGACAACATCTTCCAAAAATGGCGAATCAAGCTGTCATTCAAGAAAACACAATTTTATGTAATAGTTTTAAACTGAAAAGCAAATAAATTTAAAAAAGGAATCAGTTGAAAACTGTGAAGATCTTCACACATTATTAACAATGTGAAACAAATAAGGTTCAGTTTCTCTTCCGAATACAAATAAATTATGAATCATTGTTGGGTCCATCATGAGTGAGAGTGTCTACAAGATGATAAACCATTAGTTACAATATTAGGTTGGCAACTTTGTCAAACAGTTACCTCGCTGTGTATAACACAAGACTCTTTTTGTGTTGATTTATTTTCTTTATTCATCAGTATAAATATAAATTTCTGGCTGACTGCATCATATAAATTATTATTCATTTTGTCAATACTTTAATATTTGACAAACCTATAAACACACTATAGACCATAGTGATTATTGGTTACAATTTATCAAGTTACAGGAAGTTGTACATTAAAATTTGCATTTTGTTTTGCAATTATAAAAATATCACACAAAACTATTCTTCTATTGCACTTGTTGTCTAAGTAATGTTGAAGATTATATTATACACATACATTTATATTCTATGTATTTCTGACTAAAAAAATAGCATCTGACATTTCTCTGTTATCACCTGAAGCTAATGTGAAACTAAGAACAATATATCAAAACTTTAGAAATGCATCTTGTCCACAAAGTACACATTGATACTTGTCTAATCTGACCACTGAGTAACCAGGAACTTACTCTTATATGACCTCTGAGTAACCAGGAACTTACTCTTATCTGACTCCAAAGTAACCAGGAACTTACTCTTATATGACCCCTGAGTAACCAGGAATTTACTCTTATCTGACTCCAGAGTAACCAGGAACTTACTCTTATCTGACCCCTAAGTAACCAGGCACTTACTCTTATATGACCTCTGAGTAACCAGGAATTAACTCTTATCTGACTCCAGAGTAACCAGGAACTTACTCTTATCTGACCCCTAAGTAACCAGGCACTTACTCTTATATGACCTCTGAGTAACCAGGAATTAACTCTTATCTGACCCCTAAGTAACCAGGAACTTACTCTTATCTGACCCCAAAGTAACCAGGAACTTACTCTTATATGACCCCTGAGTAACCAGGAACTTACTCTTATATGACCCCTGAGTAACCAGGAATTTACTCTCATCTTACTATTATATGACCCCTGAGTAACCAGGAACTTACTCTTATATGACCCCTGAGTAACCAGGAACTTACTCTTATCTGACCCCTAAGTAATCAGGAACTTATTCTTATCTGACTCCAGAGTAACCAGGAATTTACTCTTATATGACCCCTGAGAAACCAGGAATTTACTCTCATCTTACTATTATATGACTCCTGAGTAACCAGGAACTTACTCTTATATGACCCCTGAGTAACCAGGAACTTACTCTTATATGACCCCTGAGTAACCAGGAACTTACTCTTATCTGACCCCTACGTAATCAGGAACTTATTCTTATCTGACTCCAGAGTAACCAGGAATTTACTCTTATATGACCCCTGAGTAACCAGGAATTTACTCTCATCTTACTATTATATGACCCCTGAGTAACCAGGAACTTACTCTTATATGACCCCTGAGTAACCAGGAACTTACTCTTATCTGACTCCAGAGTAACCAGGAACTTACTCTTATATGACCCCTAAGTAACCAGGAACTTACTCTTATCTGACCCCTAAGTAATCAGGAACTTATTCTTATCTGACTCCAGAGTAACCAGGAATTTACTCTTATATGACTCCTGAGTAATCAGGAAATTTCTCTTATATGACTCCTGAGGAACAAGGAAATTACTCAAATCTGACCCCTGAGTAACAGTGAACTTACTATCTGACCCAATTGTGTGATTCAATTTCTGATGAAGGTTATAACATACAATTTTTTTAATACACAGTGTAAGAGGTTAACATTATCATATCAATCATTCATATAACAATTTTCACACACCATCAAACGAAAAAATGCCCTTATTCAAACATTCTGTCTATATTGACATCTTGTCCAACATTACCTAATAAATAAAAAAATCTTCTCTATTCACAGTAAATAAATAGATAAATAACACAATAAGTCTTATATAGTAAGATTTGTTTGTTCGTTTACTGAATTTATTGCCCCGTGAACAAACAAGAGACATTTTGAGGTAGGGGTCTCCTTGAACATGTAGTTGATACCCTACAGAACAACATATGGGAGGCCTGTTACATGCAATCCATAACAAAGTGTCTTGCCCAAGGATACAACCAGGACAGCACAGATTGATCCTTTTCTTAGCTGTCCATAAAACACAAACTGCCATATAAAAGAAAAAGCAAATCATACACCTCTGAGCTCTACTGACTCAGCTATCACAACCACCTCATATCATGTCAAAAGATGATCAACATTGACTTCAGTTTGATCATGGCACCTCACGTACACACTACCACCAATGAATAAACCAGATCAGTCTTTTTATTGAGTTGAAGTCACTCTTTGATTATCTCAAACTTGACATCAATCTGCCTCGTCACTTGAGGGCGTAGTTGAACTGATTTCCAAACTTATCCCGAACTTTCTTGTATGCAATTTCATTCTGAGCTGCAGCAACTCGCTTTAATGATGATCTGAAAGTAAATAGACAAATTCATTATTAAAAATTTCATAAATCACATTTATCTCAAAATCTGCTTAAAATCTATTTTGAAGTTGTGAAGTCTGTGAGGTAAAAAAGAGAGACATATTGATAGTCTTATCATTGATACTATATTACTGATCTGCCATAATATGATCTGACATCTAAATCCAAAAGAAGTTCAAATTACTTCTGATTTCTATAGTTATATATAAACTATATTTGTTTTACAACAATTATGAAACAAGTTTATATCTATCACTGTTGTTGGCCTGGATGGAAGTGTGCAAGGAGACTTATTGTTGGAGGAAACTGGAGTACCAATGTGCTGTGATAGGTGACCCCATGCCTTTTCACATGCATGTTGGGAATTGAACCCTGGACACCGAGGTGAATGGTGAGTGTTACCAATGTGCCACCTGACACTACTTTAGCTCTCTCTGTAGTTTAGGTAAGATTTTCTATACTTACGGTTTAAAAACCTTTGCCTCCAGTCTGTTTCGAGCAGTATCTACGGACTCCTTTATGTTGGTTAAGTTAGGGTGTTTTGACTTCTTCCCTTTACCTTTGCCTTTGCCCTTTCCTTTGCCTTTGCCCTTTGACCTCATAGAGCCAAGGTCAATGCCAGTGGCTGCCTCAATATCTGCCTGCAGCTCTGGATCCTGCCAAGGTGGTAGCTCATCTAGAAAATTTTTATTTGAACCAGTACATGAAATGCATTCATGAGATGATTTTTTTTTAACTAATTACATATCTTTGACTTTGCATCTTTAAAGTCACAAGGATTTTCTTTTAACCATTTTGATTAAATTTATCAGTATTTAGCTGTGGCAGGTGTAAATTAAAAATCTGGGATTATAGTCAATAAAGATGAATATGTAGCATCAGAAAACTTTAATCACTGAATATTGCTAAGAATTTGTCCTAAACCTATAACAATATATAATGAGTATATTGAAGAGATTCTGACATGGTAACTAAGTTTATTTTCTTATAGTAAAGGTCTGACACACTTAAAATTACAGTCAGAGGAGATTTTCATATACATTTCTTGGCCTTTCCCCTCCCAGTCAGAAAGGTGAATTTTCACCAGGAATAAAATATTTTTTAAATTCTTTATGAAAATGGCCTTTGACATGATGACCTTGACACAAATACAAGTAAACTGGTATATTGACATCTTACCTTAAATTGCTTAATATTGGCCTTACACCGCAATGACTTTGGGAATGAAGGCTGATCCTAAAGTGACTTATGATACAAAGATTTTGGTGTGATTCAAATACACGAAAGAACCTTCAGAAAATGTGACTTTGACATCAATACAAACCTTCGATATCTGGCTCTTTGCTAGCTAGTCTTGCAATGTCCTCAGGTTCAGTGGGATTTCCAAGGTCATCTCGAGGAATGACTTTTCCATGGAAGGGACACTGTACAGGAAAGAATATTAATTATTCTTTTTGAATGAGTAACTTTCAGGCCTAAATATGTATCACTGCATTAAATTGTTCGCTTCGTGAAAGTCAACCAAGAAAAATGTTATACATTACATGCATCCTGACTGTATAAAATATGTTTTATAGTGTCATTGCCTGACCAATATTAATAACACACTTGCTGGTTACTTCATGTTGATCATTGTCCTAAACTGTGTTGAAGTTTATCCTAATTGAAAATTTAGGAGCAGCTATCATTCTCAGACACAGATTATGAACCACGGAATTAAACCCCTTCCATCAGAAATTCTAATGCGACATAATGATTTTTTATTTCATAGTGTATATAAAATGTAAACCAACTGGAGTATCTACCCAGGAGCCAACACATAATCCTTGTTTCAAAAAGAGGGTTGGGCTTATCACATGAAAGTGGAATATCACAAATTAAACAATGTTTATCATAAACTCAACTAGAATGTTGTAGGTAAGGATGGGCTTATTACATAGAGCAATGTTACCACTTATCTATCCTTTTCTCACTCTCTTGCCAGTGTTAAACTTATTTACAGATATCATACAGTGGAAACCACTTAATGTAATGCCGGTTAATGTCACTTTCCTGTTATTATCACGTTTTCTTGAAACACCATTTTTTCCCTTTTATATTCATGTAATTAGACATCACTTAATGTCACTTTCATTTGGGCAATGCTCAATATCTATCACTTCAATTTGACAACTATCACTAAAAACCACAAGTAAAATCACAGGTAAGTGAGGACAATAACTATGTATTCATGTCTCAAGGGCCATACATCAAACCTGGATGCATTGCCAGCCAACTTTTCACACCTCATGACTCTTGAACAATAGATTGACCCGCTTATCATTAATGACCAGCTAGGTTCAGGAAAGTATAGTGCTAAGGTATTTTCTATACGAGAATGTCTCCACAATAACTCTATCTCTAAAAGTCTTCTGCTTAATTCCTTACTACCCTCATTACAGAGATTCCACAGTGAAAATCAATACTACTCTATATGGAACATTTAATTTGTGGAAATTTTTGACAAATAGAAACAAATACAATGTCACACATCAGTACCTTGTATCTATCCATTCTCTCACAAAGTTTGCCATTTGGGAGTGGAGCTCTACAGCTCCACTTTACAGGCTCAAACTTTCCAGTGTAGCTCATGTTACGTTTTGTTATAGCGGCTCTTCCTTCCTATAAGGAGAAATATTCAACAATTTAGATATTTCTCCTTTGACAGTAAATTTCAATTCGTGCAAATAATATCCTATTCTATCAAAGAATCACTATAGTCACCAGAACTCAAACAAAGTGATATTCAAATGTACAATTTGTAAATATTTGATTCTTGAATTGATGAACAAACTATTTCTTCAGGAGAAACTTCCACAGATCATCATTTCAATCATATTTGTCAAGTTTTCATACATCTCTTTGGATAGACAAACATATAATGCTTTTGAAATTCTGACAAAATGATCATTACAAAAATCAGATTGAGTTTGTGGTCTATACTATAGTTCTATAACATACCCTTTCTGGTACAATGGAAGCCTCTTCAGACGGTGTCCAGAACCTGTGTAAGGAGTCATACCTAAAAACAAAACATTTACACATCTTAAACTGTAGACATTGAAGGTGTTATCATATCTGATGCAAGCAGGCATTCCTTGTCTGATACAGTTTCAAAATGAGGTAGAAATCTGAAGATCTCATAATCAATTTGTGTAATTTTTTTTTGACACAGAACAATTGTTAAAGAACAAAAGGTGCTTATATATAACATCTGTTAACTGTTGGCAACAAAATTTATGACAATGACATTTTTCACAAAGGGTCAGAATTCTGTGGCCAGGTGAAGCAGTGGCAACATTCCTGCCTTTCAACAAGGCAACCAGGGTTCTATTCCTGTCATGGACATGAAAAGTTATGGGGTTCCCTGACTGACCATGTAGATTTCTCCTGCATACTCTGGTTTCCTCCCATAGCAATAACCATCTCGATTTACATTTGGGCTAACAAGAGTAATTAATATAAGTTATTAGCTTGTTTCAGACTTGTTTCAAAATAAATAAACTTTGGGTAATTACAAACAAAATTTCGTTGTTTTAGTTAGCGTAGTGTACAATGAATTTCCTAAGTGAAGATAAACTGGCTGCCAGGTAGACAAACTTTAAATCTACACACCCATCTGGTTTTGAAGATACTTGGCAAATAAATTTTATAAGTAAAAATATCCTTTTTAAATTTTCTTTGCTAACAACTTACTTTTCCACCATGGGCATGGCTATTTTTTCTGGGTCTTCCCAATGTTCCAAATCAACACCATAAGAGATCAATGGTGCTTTCTGTAGCAGTTTTTCTTTCCTTGAAGATCCATTTGTACTTGAAGAACTAGATTGTCCCTTTTTCTTCTCATCACTTGCAGATAATGTACCTTGCTTAGCACCACTGGAAAATGATAAAGAAAAAAACTTTTTTTTAATCTGATTTTATGAACACAAAGAAAATCTATAAAATTAAGGTATATCTAGATGATTGATAGATCTGGAAAACCATTAAGTAGAAGATTGCTTAACAAGAAGTTCACATTTAATCTTAAGGCCAAATGGGAGGAACTGGTACATATTGGGTTGGCAGACGATATATTTAAGGATCCTATCTGTCATAAAACAGGAAATAAATAGAAACCTATAGATATAAATTTGTACATACATATACATTTTAAAGTAGAGCCTAGAAAATCCTCTTTGGTCCTTGGCATGCAATCAATGTAGTTAGTGTTTGAAACAGTTGGATCACTTGATCACTTTCTACACAAATGAGCAAACTAGTTAGACAATTGATAGGGCTGACTAAGTTAACTTGATTTAATGTATATCATTGTAATAGCATACAAAACTTGGTCCAGGTCTACTGGTTACCATTAAATAGTGATGGCTAGGTTAACTTGATTTAATGTATATCATTGTAATAGCATACAAACCTTGGTCCAGGTCTACTGGTTACCATTAAATAGTGATGGCTAGGTTAACTTGATTTAATGTATATCATTGTAATAGCATACAAAACTTGGTCCAGGTCTACTGGTTACCATTAAATAGTGATGGCTAGGTTAACTTGATTTAATGTATATCATTGTAATAGCATACAAACCTTGGTCCAGGTCTACTTGTGTCCTGCCCCAGGCGTTTCAGATTTGCCTTAAGAGATGTAGGGTCATCAACACTGTCCTCCTGTAATCGACAATTGATGTCCCAGTAGTGTGGTGTGGCTTTCTTACCAGGTGGTATCTTGCCTCTTGCTGGTGCAGACTTCACATTTTTGACAGGGGATATCTTTAGATGAGCTGTCCCTAGCTGACTGGGGCCTGTTGTACTAGAACTAGGTAGGGGGTCCATCCCTTAAATACAAAATTGTACACTGTCATTATATATTATAATATAACTATGTATGTAAGAGACGGCTTACCTCTAATTTCCTTCTTACACTCCAGATTCCTCAGACACAAATATTTTGTATCTCTCATATGCGATCTTTCTAGAACTACAGAATGCCTTTGAGCCTCCATTCACATGCACACAAGGTAGTGAATCATTGTCTAAGGAGTTCTTTAAAGGAACTAAATGCTAAGATTTTCATTACATGACTAATAAGAGACATCATAACATTTAAATATCTGTTAAAATTTTGTACTTTCTGTTAATTATAATGTTCAAAAGTTTGCATAACAATTTCATTAAAAATGGTCAAAAAATCAAGATAAAACAGGAGCAATCCAACACTAATTCATATCATTATCATTTTGAGAGTGTAAACAATGTCTTTACACATCGTGATGCAGGAAAATTTAGAAATCACAACAAAGCAAAGGGCTAAAACTTGGTTTCAAAAGGTCAAATGATGAACTCTACTATCTCTAATCAAAACAGCAAATGGTGTCAGATACAAGACCAAGTTAACACCAATGTTAGTTTGAAGCTGATAAACTTCATCATTTTTACTCAAAAAGTGCTCTGATTTTGTAAAATTGATTTAAGCCTCTTGATTTCATGAGGAACAAAGGCTGATATCAAACACATGAAAAAAATAAAATGAAATCTAACCATTTAGTTGCTTTGAATAGTAACAATGACTTAAACCTCAGAACTCAAAAATATAAGCACATCCGGAATATGCTCAAGAGCAACATTTGAGTCAAATTTGACCAAAGGGATACAAAAAGTGAGTAAAATGTTTTGTCCTCTGTGTTGCAAGTGACAACAACAGTGTGGAAGTTTATTTCATATTATATTATATATTGAATTAGGTAATAATTAATGATGAGAAAGATGATTTTTATTTCATCAATTTTAAAGAATCATATACTAAAACCTAATGTGACAGCTTTATGTGAAATATTTTAGGAGAGATATGCCAAAAAACAAACTTATATAAGATATTTTGTCATGCTTCTGTACTCTACCATATTCAGCACGGAGGTGGGCTGGAATGTGTGGTTCATAACCTTCTTTCTCAGGAACTTCTTCAAATTCTTCCTCACTATCATCTGAAAATAAATCTTCAAAATTATGTTTGAATTTTCTTTTACAAAGGAATAAAAATATTTCCCAGCATTGCCAAAAAAACATACATATGATCTCTATTATGGATCATATGAAATCAAATATCAAGAAGAGTTTAAGATTTGGACAAAATAATATATTTTGATTTTCATAGTAAAGTAGTTTGTCTGAGTTTTATAAAAACAATTATGGACTTTAGATGATGTGAAAGTACTGTTATATGAGTCTGAAAAGATCAATTTATAAGTGACCATGATTGTAATATTTATTTGGATCAGAAATGATTAAGCTGGGAGAAGATAACTGATACATAAGGTATATTGTGACAATAATGATGTTCTCAATAATACCTGAATCTTTACTGTCATCAATTATCTTTTCTTCTGGGACAACATTCAACTCATGAAACTGTTTCTTTGTTTTCTCTATCTCTGCTTTCAGGTCAATGATTGTTTTAATTTCCCCTTGTTTGGCTCCATATTTAGAGAGTACCTGTTCGACAAGGAAAATAATATCAAACAATCAGATATAAGAATGAATACCATGATTGAAATATGTTAAAAAATCATTTACAGCAATATTGTTGTATCAGTGAGAGAGAAACAAAATAAACAAATACCATAATTAAATGTTATCAAGGGTTATCTGACAATAATACACTGCATGTACTATTCTTATTTATTTACAAATACAACTCATTATGTTTAATTTGCATCATAAAAAAATTGAAATACATGTAAGTTATTTTGAAAAGATTAAGCAGGAAACAATTTTATATATCCTGTAGAACAATTAACTATTAACTATAGTACGAGTGGGACCTGATGTCTACCTGTAACCAGCGTTGGACAGTAGGGATATACTTTGACACCAACAGTCTGTACAAGTCCTTGAGTGTTGTTAGCACTGCCTGATTATCCTCCGTCTCCTTTAGTGATACAGGTCCTGGGTTGATATCAATGGTAATGTTATACCTATGTGTCCCTAACCCATGTCTCTGGACAAAATAATCTTCATCTACACTCTCCATATCATCCTCATCACTTTCTTCATCCTCATCATCATCGTCATCTTCTTCCAAATTATTCCCATGATTTGAGTTATTCTCAGCTTCATGTCCATTTTTCAAATTATCATTGGCACAGATGTTTCCAATGTCATTTTCATTACTGGTTTCTAAGCAATCTTTCTTTTCCATTGCATTACCTCCCTTTGATATTGAACCATCATCCATTGATAATGAATTGCAGTATTTTACACTGGAAGTGGAAGGTTCAAAGTTTTTCTTTCCTGAATCATGAACCACCTGACTTGTAGAATTCAACTCCACATTTAACGCTGAATTTGTCTCACCCAGCGAAGTTTTGATTTCACTTCCTGGACTAGAGTTTTCCTCATCATTTGCTATGTTTGAAGTTTCTAAGTTTAAATTTGTCTCGGACGGTTTTGTGTTTGTGACACAAGTTTTTTTCTGTATTTCATCATCTTGGGCCTTTATGAAAAAGTTTTCAGGTGAAGGTAGCAGCAGATCAAAACAGGTTTGTATTTCCTTCAAACTATTTTGTATGTCTCCTCCCATGTCTACAATGAAAATACAAATTAAAATAATTACATTCAACTTTATCAACCATCTTTTCATTTAACTTTTTTCTTATACTTATCATGGTAAAATAGGAATCCTTTTTAAGTTACACATTCCTGTGATTGAGCTTTTAATTCAGTAGTGTACAAATTGAAACATATAGAAGATTTACCATTAAACAGTATATTGATATGACCCTGTTTAAAGATTTTTACCTTTCAGTTGAAAATTCTATAAATTGATATGTTTTACCATCTCTAATTATAGACTGATTTGCTCCTTTGAAGATTACAAACAAGTGACACCTAATTTCAAAGTCAGGACAGTACTCAAGATTCATTTAATGTACATCTACAGATCAAAACTATTCTGCTCGTCCAATCCAAAAGATGTCACACATGGAAACTTGAATTTTGCTATGAAATGTTTCAAGGATGCAGAGAGAAATAGTGAATGTAACCCCTTGAGTATTTAGGATGATGTTTGACACATTTTCACTTACCATTTTTCCTAAAAGAGTCCATCTTCAATCCTGAACCAGTTATTTCTTTCCCAATAACTTAATTAAATATATAAGGAATCTGACAAAGATTTTCACATACACAATGTGTATGGTTGTACATTTTGTAGATCAAAGAAAGATCCTTCCTGTCACATTTTTCAGCCAACCATCTGATATTTTCAGTTTAGTCTTTACCTGCCAATTCACATAAAACTTTCTTTATTCTCTCTGTGGCAATCCGTTTCTTTTTTATTTCTTCTTCCCTCTGTCGTTGCTGTTCGGCCAGTGTTCTAGCTCTTATATTGTCAAAATCCACCTGTTATACAAAAATATGGCTATAAGTTTGATTCTATGAATAATAAAAAATCTTGTCTATCAAATACAAGCACTTACTTCAGGAAAGATATCTTACATGTGTTCTGTTTATCTCTTTGCCCTAACATTTATTCTGCTAGCTCAAGTATTCAGTGTTTTATTCCTACATCTACACATTGGCTTGGCAAGCTTTTATATTTTGTTCCATTTCTATAAAAAAAACGTAATCATAAGACTCACTCAGAATCAATAAAACTATGGCAAAATATAAACAAAATGAAGATTTACACAGAGACTCCTGAAAAAGTGCAAGGATAATAAGACCAGGTGTTCATCGATGATACCTGCCATGTAAACCTTGGTCAATATTAAGAGAAATATTCATCTCCTTCTTCAATGAATGCAATGACATGTAGGTCAGTTTGACCTATATTATATTTTTCATTGATGTTATTTATCCTTACATTTATCTTAAATTAAGCTCCATGATAATCAAAGCTTGTCTTGAGTATTTACATGCCATTTCAGCATGGCATCATGTTTTAAAATGAAGTTCCAGCCAAAAAGCCTTATTCATAATTTGTAGAAATCAAAAGACAAGAGTTGAAAAACTAAGAAACTAAATGATGTATATTTCAATCTCCAACTTATTGCTAAGTGATAATCAGTGTGTACATGAAAAATGTAATAACGAAATAGTCTGTATATATTACAATATAGACATTGTATGTATATATATTTCACCCATTAAAAGTAAACTTTGATCAGAATTTAATACCATTCTCTTACATTAGAGACGAACTTACATGTCTACATGTAGACAGGTAGTTGAAGCCAAGCTTGAGTTTCTTGTAGGCTTCTCCATATTTCTCTTGCCACTGTTGTATGGCTTTGAGTGAGTTAGTGCGCAGTGCATTGGCAGCAGCCTTGGGAGGTGGAAGAGGCTGCTCAAAATCAACCTCTGTAAACAAAAAAACATTCATTAAATCTTAAAGGCAATCTGCATGTTGTTGACTATAAGTACATTATTGTTAAAAATAATCAAAATCTGTCAAAGAAAGCCTCTAGCATTCAAAGAATATTGCTTGCTGACATATGCATGTGCAATGTGCTATCACAAAAATTCATAAGCTATGGCAATGATACTGGTACCTCAATTTGTGCCAGGTGAGAACAGACTGTCCTTGTGAAAACCACATTTGTATAACAACAGTCTAAAATGTTTAATATCACAAAGAATAATAGGAAATAAGATTTATTTTTACACTGTTTTAAAAAATCTTTCTCTGAAATCATATATCTAACATATTTTGCTACGTGAAAAATTCCTCCAACACAAAAATCTGTTCACATGTTGGGAAACACATAATTTGAATGAAATACAATTATAATACTATATAGAATGTAAACTGACCAACAGTTAGCTCTAAAAATCTCTGGAATTCAGCCACTAGCAGTTCCCTGAAGCTATGTGATCTATTGAATAACTCATCCACCATCTGGAAGGCAGACAGTCGAACTTCTGAATGGTCCTCCTCTAGTTTTGTCATCAGTATGTGAAAAGCATGTTTCACATACATATCTGAGATCCTAAAATTAGAAGAACTTATTTCAAATTGATATATAACAAAGATTGTATGTATTGCCAATATTGGATAGTGTGACAATTAAACTTAATCAGATCAAATTGTTTTGACATTTTAACATTTATTTACCATTGACTCAAGAACAGCATAAAAAATAGATGAAACATCAGAATGATTTGGACTATTCCAAATTATACCAGAGAAGCATAACGAAGCCTAAATGGTTAGTTTACAACTGTTAACTATTGCGTTTTATATGTTAATATACAAGTCATACAGGCCTTTCCCTTTTACAAAACAATTAGATTTAGGCAAATGTATTTTAAGTAATAACTTAGACGGTTGAAATTCATAAAACAAAGCTGAAGAATTTTTTTCTCGGTCAACTAATAAAATCAGCTTTCAAAAGTGTACCACGTGCCGTGGACATACAAAATCAAACATTCAATATATACCGTCACAAAAGTCACTAACTTGCATATTTTCTTGAAAGATTTCATTACATCTGCATCCAGTACCGGTTTCCCCGATTCAGTCAGCTGATCTGCAAGCTTCTCCATCTCAGCACTGAGCTTCAGATCAAGATATTCGTTCTCGGAATTTCTATCCATATTGATTAGAAAAAATGGTTACAAATGAAGTTTCCTGGACTTGACTTTGGATTTCTTCCTCTCTTTATTTGTTCATCATATTCTAATTTAAACGCCTCTTTATTCTGAAGTATATTACATACATACTGTCAGCCATTCCCTTTTAACCAACAAGATTGTTTTCATCTTGTTTTCAACATGTCAGCGAGTCGCGGCAGGTCCCGTCTTCAAAATTTATTTTCTCGGTAGCCCATTATAAACCAAAATGTATCGTTAAATGTGGTCAAATCGAGTCAATGGTTAATATTAATGTCCATGAATCTGTCGGTGCGTCATGAATGTCCCTAAAAGTGTTTGTTTCAGCATTTTTCTTCGACAAACAACGAAACACCTATTGCACAAATAAACCGGAAGTTTATGATAGAAAACTAAACTAAGCTGAAACCGGACAATAAATCCGGATATATGCACTATAGTCCGTTTCAAATTTCGACATCTCTCAAATTTTGATCAATTTATGGAAAAACATCGAGAAAATACCAGCATATCAACACAATTATAATCAAAATATTCAAATTCAATAAAACCTGGGACAAGATATGAACAAAAGAAATATTTGCACGGAGACTCCTGAAAAAAGTACAAGGAGAATAGTTCTTTGCTTTATTGATGACGCCCATCATGTACATCTTGTGATGATACCTATCATGTACATCTTGGTCAATCCAAGTAAGTAATGTCACATTCTCAAATGAGAACTAGGTATACAAAACGGAACAAACAGGCTAACCAACAAGCATCAAACACATCTTGCTTCATATCCCAAAATGAAATATATTTCCTCAATAAGATCACTTAGGCGACCATAAAACTTCCCATTAATTTCCATCAACCTGCATCTTTTGGAACCCTATGTAATGAGATTGTGCATCAGTTCACGACTTCTTGTATGGAAATTGTGATAATGGGAACAGGCCCTTGAATACTGTGGCATGTAAACATAGGTTGGGGATGCAGGAATGTTGCTAACCAACAATGAATCATTTATCCTAGGCAAATTGAAATGATCACGCTCATTATACAGCTTGGCGGAAAGCTGTTCATGTTGGTTTCCCTGTAGGAAAAGAGATCAGCTGCTGGTGTAGAAGAATCTACCATGTCCTTGATGACCAATTCTGGTTGGTACTTATACAATTGTTGTGGTAAATGTCTTTGAATTTAAAGGTGACATCTTTTAAAGATAAATTCAGCCTCATATGAAAACAAAAACAAGCAGAAGTAGGAATGTGACATAAAAGTAATAAATAGAATTAGAATTTATTGAAAAAACACCAGGATATTGAAATGAATTCTAAGTATCTTATACATTGTATTGAAGAATACAAATGGGAGACTATTGGTTATTATCCACTTGTATACAGATCAGACAAAACAGATACAGTAAGGAGAAAAGTAGCGATGAAAAAAAAACAAAAAACAAAAAAAGCAAAAAAACAATTAGAATTGGGAATTCAATTATCACAAAGTACTCTAGATATATATACATTTAATTGATATTTCTCAGATTTTTAAGTTTGTAATCATACGGCTCTATGCCAGTCTTGTTATGGAACAATGAATTTTTCCACCCCAAATTAAAATATATGTGACAGATTAATAATGATGTTCTTTTCCAGTACTACTGGTAAAAGTTATTATAACTTATACTTAACCTTACCATTTATGCAGAATTGCTTTGCCTTCCTCAAAGGATGCTTCTTACTAGATATGATCAAAATCCATCCAGTCGTTCATGACTAGTAACAATTTTTAGTAAAGAGCTGATGCACGACTAGATGCTGTACTAGAGCAAAAGAAAATAAAAAACCAAACAAATCAAAACAAACAAAAATAATAAAAGGACAGCTTCCCATAAAGATGTATGGTTGACATTAACATTTTTCCTCTTGTGAATCTACTATTTCTAGCTAGCAACATTCCTCCTTCTCAACCTATTGTAAGGAAAACCACAGAGAAGTCATGGTCGCCATTTTTTTTATCCTGTTGGGAAATATTCCATTTCCTAGATATCTTTGAATTTAATGTTTTATATTCTCTTAGGTGTGTAAAAGGAGCAGGTCGGTGTAGCATCCAGTACTCTCAACATGGAACACAAGCATGAAACACATACATGCATGGAACAATTTGTTCCGTGCATCTCCAGAGCTCAAGTGACATTGCTGTTCCGTGTTAGATATCATGTATAGCAGGACAAATATGAGTAAGGAACTCTCCTGTACTGCTATTGAGAGAAAGTTTAAGAAAGTTTACCATTTCGAGCAAATACTCCTTTTGTTCTTGTACATCATTGAGCTACAGAGAACTTAAGTACTATACACATTATGGAGAGTACCACTGCGTCACAAGACAGAAATATAAACCTGTTCTTGTTCCAGATTGAATATATAAATACCTATAATGACTTGGCTTGTGCTGGGAGCGTAAGAAATCATACAGATATCAATTTTGGAAACCTCTATTCCCCCTATTATTAGGATGAAGGGACATTTCAACCAATTTTCATCTTTAGTTAAAGGAATGAAGTTTTTGTATGCCTAATTGAGTTTTTGTCACTTATTGAGGAACTGGATTTCCTAAAGGAAGAATGTAAGATGTTTCCATTCTTATAAAGGAAAATCTGTAAAAGCAGCTTCGAACTAGAATACTGACAGGTTAGCAATGACCTAGTAATGTATCTTAATATCCCTCAAAATCATCATGAAGCCAGCTGCCCATTCTTGATGTTTAATCATGATCCATTTTGACGTTTGGTCAGCTCAATTCTGATCATCTTTGGTTCATAAAGTCATAACAAAATGATCATCAGTGAAAAGATACAAAAATTTGACCATGACCTTCAGACCTCAACCTTTTATCTTGATCGCATTCTTTAAATCATAGATTATCTCACTTTCTGTCAGTAAGAAAACTTCACTGTTACAAGACAATAGCCAATAATACTCATGGGTTCAAATTTACGTGATTTTCTTTTAAAACGATCAAATGATAAATAAAAATTCAAACACGTATATGTTAGAAGCATAGCTTTTATTTGTAATCTACATTGTGTAACAACTATAAGTAAAAAGCATAAAAATTGAATTTGAACAATATCTAACATGAATATATATTATATAATATAAAGGCAAACTAGTGTGTGTTTGTTATGTATTAGTGTCTTACAGTCTCAGAGAAAACATGGTAAGAGTTATTCCCCTTCTTATACAACAAAGGGCAATAAAATGAAAATTGAGCGCCAGAACTGAAACCAGGATATAACATAAAAAGCCACTTGACATTATCAAGTTTTTTTTTAGATTTTTTCCTTTTCTTTTATTTTCTTATTCATAATTTCATAACTATATTGTCTTGCTGCTTGATAAATGTCATTATAGAAAGCAGAAAATTACTAGTAGTCAAACCTCGTTATCTCAAACCTGTATAACCCGAAGACATGGTTTATTCAAAGTCTTTCGCCAGTCCCTGCCTAACTTTACACAAAACATTTAAACTCACATAAATCAAAAACTTGATTATCTCAAAATTTTCCAATGGTTCCGCCGAGTTTGATATAATGAGGTTTGACTGTACTTTGTAAAAATTTAAACTATGATATTAACAATGAGTACATGACTTTGAAATTCAAAATACATCAAAAATTCTTGACATCTATCAGTTTTTCTTCCACATCAAAATACGTGCATGCAGAATATTCTGCCTGCTGGTGTAGCAGTATAGCCTCAAGTTTTAAAGTGCAGCAAAAAAGAAGTAATGGGTCTTTGTTAAAGGGAGTTTTAAAATTAATTTCAATAAATTTGTTAAATGTTTATTGGAGTAACATGAAGAGGCACATTGTGTCAGAAAATTAATAATGGACGTCTAAATATGGAAGCCAACCTTTCACTTACCCGACTGGAACAATATACACTAAGCACAACTGGTTAATATACTCAACAGCATGGAAAACAAGAAGGAAGAAAGTTTATACATGTATGACTGTAATCGTGAAAGACTGCTCATATAAAAAAAAGTGACAAAATTTACAACTAGTCATAACATATTTCAGAATCACAATTCAAAACAGTAGTATAATGTATTTGGTCCTGAAGGAAGTGAAAGGAATCAATTTGTTTCACTAACTGAAAATTTGCTGCAATATTATATAGTAACTGCCATACTGTAAAGTCATTCATTTTTGTGGTGTTTTTTTTTTCGTTGATTTCCTGAGTACAAATAAAAAAAAAAAATAAACAGTTTAGAATACATTTATATTATCTCACCACAAACGGACTTTATAATTACAATTTATCTACAAAATCAAAAGTCCATGAAGATGTTTTTTATGGAAAACCAGGGAATTTGAGCACAACAAAAATATCTGAATTTACAGTACTGGACAAAAAAAATCTGGATAGCTTATTGAAATCAGACAGGAGTCTGAAGATCCAATTTCAATAATTAACTTTAAAGGCAGAAATTACAACATCTTACTAAAATTGCTTCAATACGTTTTAGATAGCATGATATAAATGAGAAGAATATTGGAGTGATAAAACTACAACACTTATCAGGAATCCAACTAGTTTTGCCACTTTCCTTCTCATTTCTAGCCAAATAAGAATAAAAATGTCGATGTATCTTAATTTTTATCACTATTCACCACATCACCAGTTCTGTAAATTACATAACAGTTTTTGTTCTAAATCTATAAATAAAAATAAAATGTTACTGTATTTATCTGTAAACAAGCCCCTGCCTACAATAAGGTTCCCTTATTCATTTTTGCAGAATAAGCAATTTCGAAATAGTAAGCTGTACGTAATTCACAATTCTAAGCCCTCCACATACTTTAAATACTTAACTTTAACACAAGGGAATGGGGTTTCTTTGAGGATACACATGATAAACACTTTTATGTGAAAGAAAAGTAGCAAATCTTTAGTTTCTACCTGAAATTTAAATCAGAGAACTTACACGTTCAGATTTCTACATCATCAACCAAAAAGCCTTCTACAAAAACTTTAACAATACAAAAAGTAATAAAAATTTGAAATCATATGAGCAAGCAAAATAATACATAAATGTACTAACAAATAATTTACTCCAATATAAGAAGAATATTTTCTTTAACAAAAACCAATGCACTGCACCATGATACAACATCAACTTTTGCAAAATGATTTTTCATAGAATAACCATTTCGTCTTTATTGAAGTTAAAGGTCTGCTGGCTTTAGGTGTACATAGATTAGCATTCACTATCTGATTAGTATTTTATTTTTTCCCAAATAAAAATACAAATTTTCCTGGCTTTTTCACTGACTATCTTCATCATTATTACGTGACTCTAAATGTTGTTTGATGTTTGTGATAACCATTAAAGTCACAGAAATCTGCAGCATTAAGATTGACCACGAAAACACATTTATCTTCCAAGAGACGAATCATCACCATGTCCAGCATGTGTAAAAAGATACAAAAAATCCCTAAGGTTTTAAGTTTCAAATTTACACTTTCTTTTTATTATGGAGTAAATTGAACAAATTGAAATGAAAAATACTAATGAACAATATGCAATTTCATGACAAGATTTTAGCCCTTGACCAAAATTTATATAATACATAATACATACACATATATATTAAAGTTTTGTCGTATGAGCACTTGGTGTCATTGCGCACTACAACCAGAGTAATGGCAGGAGTTGATATATAACCAAATATAAAATCTAACTTCAAATTCTTACTGAAAACTTAAAGACTAGAATTCTATTTAATGTTGCTTTTCTTAAAAAATATAGCATTATTTTGCATCTAAATATGTCATATTTCAAACAGGAACCATAAAGCACAAACATATTTTTTTTCCAATTACCTTGAATATTTTGTTTCGAAATTAATCAAATAAGTCCTTTTAGAACAGGTGATGATTACAGAGGTTGTAGATACATGATCATCAGTTCTAGAACAATCAGCTGTATAAAAAGTTTACATGTCAAGGAATTATGAAGTAGCTAATTAAATGGATTTTCAAATAATTTGTAGTCATCACAAAGAAAACCTCTTAATAAACATCTTCTTTGAAGACTTCATATTACGAAGAATTATCAGTAAAATTTTTATTTAGTCCACTTTTCCCACAAAAGAGAGAGAAAAAAAAATGAAAACACTACAAATTCTGTTTCACAGTAGATACTGAAAGTATCAAGATAAAAAAATTCCTGACCGATAAACAAGGTATTGAAACATTGGTTCTCAATAATTGTTGTTTTTTACCTTGTAATATCATACAGACATAATACATATGAAATCCAGCTTCTTTCATCTTTTAAATTTGCATCCTTGGTTAGAACAGTAGCCAGTCCATTTCTTCGAAACACATTAAATTGAAAACACTCACAATACAACAGATCCTTTATACCTTCAAAAACATTTTATCACCATCTTCTTCAATTCAAGAAATGAGATCTGCATATACAACGTTTTAAGTAAAGGAGATTTTTTTCTCACAAAGTCTGATGGAGGTAAAAAAATTCTTCTTGTCATAGCAGGATGTCATTGGCAATATTAAGTTTATTGGTAGTCATAATTAAGTCCAAATGTATGTTATAGTAAGGCAGATGAAGTTAACCAAGCAAGCACAGTGTGAATGGTTCTGCATCAGGTAGTATTCTTTTATATTCCTACATACAATGCGTGAAATAAAAAGCAAGTCTATACGTCAATATTGTATTCTAAAAGCGTTGCGTAACTTGTACGGTCATCTCCATAATTTGCATTCAAAGTGACCTTGACCGATTTGTTGACATGGTTTTTAAAACTGACGTCTCCCTCCCAGATTCCTGGCTGGCTGCTGGTTAGGTGTGTCCAGTCGCTATCCACAACAATAGCCGCTGCCTGAGCATTTGGAATGCAGACACGGAAATTAGCAACACGTTCTGGACCATTGAGCATATCCTTGTGTAGGCGTGTAGGTGTCCACATGTAGCAACCCTCTTTCCACTGGGCATACTGTTTGGGGAAAGGATGTACCGCCTTCGGAGCATTCTGACAATTGAGGAGGTAATTGTACACACCTGGCAGTTGCTGGCTGGGGTCCTTTACTGGGATGGCATACAGCTGCAGCTTATAGAAGCCAGTCGTGGGGATGGTGACCAGGAAGCTTATCACATTGGATTGCGTCTGGGTGAACACAAAGTCTGGGAAGTCCTTATCCTGATCAACGCTGATCAAGTTAGCAGTGACACGCATTGGATCTGTTCGTGTAAACTGGATCTTTACGTGGTTGACCTCAAGGAGGAGTACAGGGTCATGATGGCTCAGAGTGTTTAATCCATACTCACTGAACTTACTTTGGGCGCCCAGGTAGCCAGGTGGTAGTTTGGGTAGGGGTGTAGTTTTGACATCTTCGTGACATTCTACTAGAAACTGTGCAATGTGGAACAGGGTTTTACCTTCGGTACTTGGATCATTTCCATAAATTTCAAGTCCATATTCACCACGTGTAGGGACAGAACAGGTCACATGGGCGGTATTACCCACAATTCTGTGCATAACATAACAATCTAATTCAGCATCATCAGTACATGAGATGTGTTTGAGTTTGGCCATAAATTGCATCTGTTTTGGGATGCGGATCTGCAGCTCAACCTTGCCCTCTCTGGCGACGATATTTGCAGATTGTTGGTAAGTTGCCAAACCATATTTAAAGAAAGCAGAGCCAGGACCCCAGTGAAGTGAGGCACATGGTGGGAAAGGTTGGGGAGGAGGACAAGCAACATCTTCCTGCACAATTTTGTATTCACAAACCTGTGCATAAACATTATCCAAGTTTTCTGGTGTATCCTCCTTGGCATATATGTACAAAATGTAGGAGCCTCTCTCTGGCAGACGGAGGCGGAATGATCCTATTCCACCAACACTTTCGTGCATGCCGTACCTATTCAGTTTCATGCCCTGATACTCTTCCTCAGAGTTTTCATATTGAATAGTGAAGTTGAAGGCCACGACAAGCTTGTGTGCTGGGTAGCGCAGTCGTACATTAATTTCCCCTCTGCCGTAAATAACAGCAGTTCTATGACTGACAAACTCCAGTCCATATTTGAAGAACTGTGGCTTCATGTGAGGCATGTTCTCAAATTCCTCAAGACTGACAGGCCTATCAAGTAATTGCCATTTCGGGTCATCAGGGAAGTGAGTATAAATGAGCTGATGTGGGTCAGGCAGGAAGAAATATTCATCCAATTGGTAGTGGAACTCTTCAACCTGGGCCTGTTTACCAATGATACGCCGTGCTGCCCAATGAGCATCAAGTAAACACCACGTTCCGTAGATGTAGACGGCAGTCCAAGAATGCTGATTAGAGCCCGGCATAAACTTCTGTCCCGGGCGGTAGTCAGCTCCTTTGGCGTAACCGCTGATGATCTTTGAGTGCAGACCGGCATAACTGGAAGAAAACAATTGAAGTATTTGATATAGGATCTACACAATGCATTTAACATTTCATGCATGTATGCAATGATATTTTGATCCAACTTCCTATGCATGCTGGTAAAATTGAGCTTACTGCTAGATGGATAATGTGTTATCTCTACAAACTACACTTGGACATTACAAACTTAAATGTGATTACGAAGTTTACAAAGAAATATTCTAAAGATGAAATATGTTTAATTATAAATATTTAACTGACATACTTGCACATAGTATCAAACACCATGGCATATGTTGTCTTTCCAGTCTTTAGACCCATCAACACCTCTTCTGGACTTCCTTTTTCGACATTGCTGAAATCTATTTCTGTCAGGTTTTTGGTGGCTAGCCAACGGAAGATCACCCTGAAAAACATTAAAATGACACAGAATATTAACATCAATCTGCAGATGCACCACAAACTTTTCTACTTCCCTTCTCAAAGCCTCTTGGAAAACTGTCTGACCTTACAACAAGTAAGATCAAATCAGATGGATAAACTGTTCAAAAGTAACATCAACTTTAATCTGACAATGAAAGAAAAATATGACAGAACAGATGTGTCAGTGCAACATGAATATCTTCAATGAGAAGTAATAAATTTTTAAGAATTATATTTTGGGGTTTTAGATTTTGTAAGGTCTACTCAATACTTTATGTGGGAATGTTAGGGTTTGGTTGACCAAAGCTGAAGGGTACAGCCCACTTTGTGCAGACACAGTGTCACATTTCCATTAGATGTTTCCATTTAGCTCTGAGAAAATCAGATAATGAGCATAAACTGATAACTTTTTAAAAAAAAAAAATTCAAAATTTAAGGGTCATGAGTGTGGGACTGAAACCAAATAAGAACACAATGACCTACATTGCTTCAATATATAACTACACAACAAATTTCAGTTCAATATCTGTATCTGTCTAGAAGGCAATGAGCTTAAACCAAATTATGATGGAATGACAGGCTAGGGAACATTATATGCCCTGCTTTATCCTCGTTGGAGCCATTGTTTTTTAAATCTGAATCAATATATACCAGTACTTACAAACTGGTATCATATCATGCCTTTCACAGTCTGCTTTAGAGCTGGCTACCTCAATCAGACATGTGTAATAGTAGCTTTAAGTTCATATCTCAGCTGTGCTTCCTTGCAAGACAATATCCACAGATTTTCTAACTCATGAAATAATGTTCTTTGTCTAACAGAAGAAATTCTATGATCGTTTACATAATATTTTCTATTTTGCTTGATTTTGTGATTCCTCACCTGACTTTTTCTATCTCATTTGTGATATTCTTGGAGTAGATCAAATCCCACACCAGGTCTCTGAATGTTGGATGTTCACACTTCGATACCTAGATAACAAGAAGAAATGGAGTTTAGGGAATAATGCATTAGCGAAAGTAAGTAAGGTACTAGGTTTGGTTGATGGATTTATCATTACATGAACAGCCAGTCATTTTGAGGCAGTGTTTCTTTGAAGAAGCTGGTGACTATCTTCCTGAAAAACATAAGGGAGCTCATTCATGCCATACAGAGCAGTTAGGGTGAAGTGTCTTGATAAAGGACATAACCAAGAGCACAACAGATCACAGATCAGTCCAGTTCTTGAGAAACAAGAACTGCAATGGGCAAGGGGCATTAAACCACGCACCTAAGATTTTTATCTAAGGTTACATAGGCAGAATGCTCTACAAAAAGAAATATCACTGTTCTTCCCTCCCCTAGGTACTTACATCTTTTACAGATCAAATTCTATACTTTGTAATAATTTCTGTTATACAAATATTAAAGCATCTATTGTATAGTAAGACTTCAGGTGTCAACACTTATTCTCTGACTGAAATTAAAAGTAGGCTCTTACAGGATACTAAAATAGTACATCTGTATAGGCCCCTCAACTCAGAATTGGCCCCATTTATAATGAGAAAGTCTCTTAGCTGATCAATATGATGGTGGTATCAACACTCAATTAAAAGTATTTCTCCTTACTGAAGTTGGAAGTATTTTTACTATTCTTGTTGACAATTATTTGCTTTTTTTTTAAATGAATCATTTGTTTCATAAGTGCTTTACCAAGAAGATTCAATAAAACACGCCTGATAAAATAAAAAAATGAAGATAGATCTATGACAATATAGAGTTAAATAAATAACCTCTCAAGGCAATATCAAGATATACTGGTAATTCCTCCAATAGTCACGCTATTTATCATCAAGACTAGATGGAATCTCATACCTGTATGGCGTGATCGTCAACAGTATGTAACACCTGGCGATCAATATTTTCCAGGCTTGGCTTCTGCTGCGCTGGGGCTGTGTGTGTGTGTGTGTGTGTGTGTGTGTGTGTGTGTGTGTGTGTGTGTGTGTGTGTGTGTGTGTGTGTGTGTGTGTGTGTGTGTGTGTGTGTGTGTGTGTGTGTGTGTGTGTGTGTGTGTGTGTGTGTGTGTGTGTGTGTGTGTGTGTGTGTGTGTGTGTGTGTGTGTGTGTGTGTGTGTGTGTGTGTGTGTGTGTGTGTGTGTGTGTGTGTGTGCAGGGGCTGGAGGTGGCCCCTCTTCTGTCTCCATCTTGACTGGGATCAACTTGAACTCCTGGGGTGCAGAAGGTGGCTGCTGACCGACCGAACGCTTCTCAACCTAAAGCAGAGGTAAACATAGCTATAGAAATAATATTGGAATTTTGAAATAACGGTAGCTCATATTCATACATAGCATAGTACAATTGCGTTGGCGATATAAAACATACTATGTTGGAAATATATCATCTACAAAAAGCTATTTCACTGTATAGATATATCCACATATGACTTTGCCAATTTTTTCCCATACAACTACATCATTAAAGTTCACAGATCAAGAAACGGTGACCATATTTATTACATGCTTCATAAAAGTTATCTCCCTTGTGATGTAAATTAAATCAACGTATTCTATTCCACATTCCTATTGTAATGTTGATGGTATATATAGCACATATGTACAGATGCATCATTATTGTATATTGTTTCCAAGCAAAATTCATATGACAACTTTCAAAATTTACCATCATTTGTGTGAATACATTAACTTTCATAACTGAATTAAACAATTACCATGAATTCTGATATGTCCTAGGCTCAGTTATAACCAGAACAATGACATTAAGCCCCATCAATCAATCATAAATTCTGATCTTGGATTTAGTTTTCAAATCATGATATAAATTATAAACAAAGTGTATGATGTGCTGGCCGTACATATGTCAATAAGCAAGAAGTCATATATTTGCATTAAATCATTGATATCTAAAGACCCCGACTCCAGATTGTCTTTTACCCATGGATAAACCAAGTAATGCAGATTAAATGTAATCACAAATAAGTTGAAGATTACGTATATGATAAAATAATTTATAATACTTAATGTCAGATTTGTACTATACTTAATTTAGGATTTCAGCATCAATGTTTTATAGAAAAATCTCAAAAACCATTCAGAAATATTTAGGTATATGCATTGTAATATGATAGTCTTAAAATCAATACTAAGTCAATAAAACTTACCTCAATTGGCTGGCTGGGGGGAATGTGGATGACCGCCTTTTGCTGAGTTGGGGGTAGAATAACATTGCCAGTGCCTGGAGTGAAGGCAGCCTGACCCCCAGGCTGAGCCTGACCATGAGTTTGGGACATTCCGGGGTAGTGGCCCTGCTGACGACTGTCGGGGACAGTGCCGTAAAGATATTGCTGTTGCAAAAGTTCAGGTGGTGGGGCAGGTAAGCTGTCCAGGTCAATCTCGTTCTGACCACCACCCATGTTCATATCGGACACATTCTGGGCAAGCTGTAAAAGTTAATCAAATAAAGTTTACCATAAAAAATCTATAAAATCCAGACACTGTTCAAACTTTTACACCAACTTTTACAAAAATACATCAAAATAAGTTTATATTGTATATTGTTACCACACATTCATATCAATTCTACCAGCTATAAATCCTTCAAAATATTTTTTAACATTTTTGTCTGGATAAAATTACAAGGTCAAGGCTTCATCATGTGATATTGTGATTGGACAAGTTAACCAGACTTAAATATCAGGATGTGTAGACAAGGATGGCTAAGACATAGCTTCCTTTGTAAGTTTATCTAGTGTCAACAGAGTAAGTCAAGCCTCTGACAATAAAACACTTTGGTGTTATAAAAGCCCTCAATACAGTGATCCCATTAAACAAATCTGCATCTTAAACTCCTACTTTGTATATCATCTACTTACAGGATATTAAATTACCATATGTAACATATTTACCCCTAAGATTTAAATCTATTCTTCAGATATTCAATAAAATGATTTTAATGAACTTTAACAGCCCAATCATATATTTTTTCTAAAATGGACCAAAATTATTACTGAAGTAAATACCTTTAAATATAGGCATTATGTAGTATATGGCCATCAACAATCTCTCTGACCTTTGTAAAGTTATCACATGGGACATAACATTTATTCCGACCACACAAACAAAACTGGGACATAGACAAAATCCTGGTTATACCTGGTTTGGATTGACGTATGACAGAGTTGCTTGGTGAGCGTTGGGAACTTCACGCCTCTGTGGAGCTTCCTGGTAAAAAGCTGTGGCTTGTTCTTCTGGTTGTGCATAGTGTACAAAGTACTGACAGATGTGAGTGTATGTGTCACCATCCTTTGATGGATCATTCCCATAGATTTCCAGGCCATATTCACCTTGTCTTGGCAAAGTGGCGGTGACATGGATCTGATCTCCCATATCAGTCTCAGAAATACACCTCTCTAGAGCCTCATCGCCCATACCAGGATGGCGCAGTTTGCAAAGAATAAAGGTTGGCCTTGTCTTTTTGAAGCTGAAGGCAACATTCCCGTCAGTGGTTGATATGACAGCATCTTTCTGGCTAGGAACAAGGCCCAGCTGGCTAACAGGTACACCCGGGCCCCAGTTACTGTCTGAACAGTTGGGCAGAGGGTTTGCATCAAACGCTGCAGTGTCACTTATGACCTTATATTCTGCTGATGCTGTGAAGACATTCTTCACGCCAATATCACCTGTCAGGAGCTGTGCAAAGATGGTCAGGTAAAAACTACCAGCCTTAGGTGCTCGGAGGACAAAGGTAGCCTGGTTGTTTTGGGTTTCTTGCAGAGCATAATTCTTCAGCTTTTGACCATTGTACATTTCATCTCCATTTTCAGCCATGGTAATTTTGTATGTGAAATTGGTGGGCTTAACAAATCCGCAGGTGATGGCAATTTTACCATTCTGCGTATTCACAACTCCTTTCTGATGTGACATAAAAAACATGCCACACTTAAAGAAGTATGATTTAACTAAGGGAAGGTCCTCAAACTGAGCCAGAGTGAGGCTTTGTGAAAGAAGTTGCCAGCGTTCCCTCTGTGCCCAGTGGCTGTAGATCAGTTGTTCTGGGTCAGTCATGAAGTAAAAGTCATCATATTCATAGACCTGAGGGTAAATAAATATACCATGTTATCTAGATGAATATCATGAAATAGAGAACTTTTCATGCACTGAGAAAAGCAAAAATATCTAAGCACAATGAAAACATACCAAAGGGAGATAAGAATGGAAATTTCAGAAATATATCCTGCATATTTCATGTTCAAGTTCCATCCTTTACTGGTATCAAAAATCCAGATAATTTAATAAGGGTTTCCTTGGGCTGAAATACTTCTGAAAACCAGTTTAGGGTGAGATGTAACTATAAAGATATGACATTAACACTTAAATTTTTCAGATACATGCATAATCAACACTTACCAAATTTTCTTGTGCATTTCTCTCCGAAATGAGATAGCGTGTGGCCCAGTGAGAATCGACAAGGTACCAATTTCCATCAATGAAGCAAGCATTCCAACTATGGTTATATTCGGCCCCCTTAAACTTATCGCCTGGGTGATAGTCTAATCCCTTGGCGTATCCAGTCAGCACAGCACAGTACAAGCCAGCATACCTGTATCAGCAAGAGAGGTAATCATTTAACAAAGGGAGGTAACATGTTTGCAGTATTATGTGAACGGTACACATACAATGCATAACCATACAATCTTAATTTGTCAAGTGATGCAAAGAAAAAAGTTAAAAAGGGTCAAGACCGCTCTTAAGCCTTAAAGACTTTGTCTTATGTCTTATGTTTGGCAAAAATATTTTACATTTTACATGATTGAACTGAAATAATTAACATTTTTTCATTTCTATTGTTTTCTTTTCTTTATCGCAAACATTTAATCATTTTGCACTGATAAATGTTGTTTTCTAGAAAAACTACCATTTAAAACATTTTTAATTCCTTACCCACACATGGTCTCAAAGATCCTGGCATATGTGCCCTTCTTGTTTTTGAAGGAGAGAAGAACCTCCTCTGGTGAACCCTTGGCAGGATAGGGAACATCCTTGAAGTTCAATGTATGCATATTCCTGCAGGTCATCCATCGGAAGATAACTCTACAAATACCAACAGTAATCAACTTTTTATAAATCCGTTTGTTATCCTTAAAAAGTAATGGTAGTATTACAGTGACATAATAGTAACAAAAAATTTCATAGTGTTTTTCTATAATCTTTAAAACATCCAATTACTGTACATTTGTTTAATTTTGCAAGGCAAAACATTTCATGGTTATCCCTTTAAAGGCTAGATCACGGGTAGCTAATTTTGAACTTTTCAGTCAATTCATATCAATGTATACAGGCACAACAGAACACTTGCTGGGTATTTAATTTGACATTATCTTTATTGACCACGAATACAGAGAAATTAATTTCCTCATGAATATTACTAACTGTAAAGTAATTCCTGCATTTTATATAATCTCTTCCTTTGTTTTAAAACACCCCTCAACTTTTTTTCTTTATATGATCGTAGAATGTAGATTCTTAACTCTCTCAAATTTTTATCGTATATCAAAAGTGATTTTTTTTCTTTTATTGTTTAATGTTTTGTAATGTACATGGCACAGCTTAAAACAATTTCAATAAATTTGCTTGAAGTAGGGTAGTTGAAAAAATGTCATGGCGGTCCTGGGATTTCTACACACTGAAGTAACATCCCTCAGCTTACAAACGCTGCCATGCCTCAGTTGTATGGTGCTTACCACAAAAAGGTTAGAGCTTACACAATTTTATTACATGACTGCCATTGCTACGATCTTTTTATCACACATCAGATAATTAGAGACATGTTTGAAGATCTTTGATGAGTCTCTCATCTCAAGATGTACAACATATCTACGTAACGTTTGAAATTCCTTGTCTTTTATTTGTATTATATCATGTATTCATGTATATAGGAAACTATACACATGTATATTGAAATTTTAAAAGTTCTCAAATCTTAATAAAATATTTTGAAAGTAAAAGTTGAATCTCGGGTATATTTCTGTCTGAAATAATATTCTAATAATTTTTGTTAAGCTTACAATAAATACAAATATTAAACAGAATTAAATCATAAAATAAGCATTAAGATGACATGATGAAATCCTAAGTTCCCAATAAATTCTGGAAAAACAAAAGAAATTGGTTGAAAATACAATATCCCCTAGAAAACAAAAGTAAACCCTTCATGCTCAGATTTAGATTTGACAGACAAACAAAGAGGAGTGAATGTTAAACATGTTATCCTAGTTCTATCAGAGAAGCCAACGGTGATTTCAACGAATCACAAAAGAAACAACTCAAATGCAGAATCAGAGAATTTTGACATGTTTCAAACCTAAGGTATGAGTGGGTACCACCACATGGCCAACATGTAAACATTGCCTACGGTTTCCAATGATTCTTTCTATAACTGTTATCTAGCTATGTAAACAGTTTGATGGCTGTTTCAGGTCACAAACACCCAACTGGCCCAGTTACATTTTCTAACTAATCTTCATCAGCCAGAAGATTTTTGGAGTGCTCTGTTGAACCTGTGGCCCAATTCTATTAGAGAGTAAGTTAGATTTTATTATATAAGATATGTACATGCATCACTTGATAAAACACAGATGTTCTGTCTATCAGAAGAGATACATTATACATAAACAAATTTTATCTTATCTGATTCTCAACTCTATGTAATTATGATGACCCTATACTTCTCAGATTACATAACATACATTTCACTGACCTTTGACCTTTCTTTGCTGATATTGATTTTAATGTGCATTGCATAGCTTGAATTATGTTGCTGTTGAACTATCTTTTACATGTAACTTCATCTCCAATTAAAATATTCATTTTTAATTCATCAATGAAACCATTATCTTCATATGAGAATCTCTTGATAATGTCATCGCCATCAAAATCTCCATATCCCATCTACACTTTCATTTTTTCCTCTTTGTTGCTTAGCAAATCATCAAAGATGTTATTTTCATTTATTTGAAATAAATTTTTACTGAAATTGATTTCCTCTTTGAAAACTAGAGCTCTGCCTTGTCAGGGTCATCAAACATTTACCAGTTCATTCTTGATATTGTAAGAACAGGACATGACCTTGATCTATTAGACTCTTTAACCTCCAATTCATAATGATCTCAACTTTAACCTTCAGAGCAGGACATGACCTTGACCATTGAGATTTTTTTACCTTGACTTCAAAATGACCTCAACTTTGACCTTTCAAAAAAACAATGAACAGAAGTCGAGCTATTAGCAGTTCTGGATATTGCCAAGAAAAAAATTAATTCATTTGTCTTAACAAGATAAAGCTACATTCTTCTATCTCTTTAACAAATGTTATAAATTACTGGGTACACCTGAAACAGGAATTATCTAAACAACCTCAATATTTATTTAAAAAGACATATTAACAGTGTAACATCAGGATTTGGAAGAATCTAGGAATGTAGGTAATTCCAGAAATGTAGAGCACTAGTTCAGCATATTTTCCCCCTGAATAATTAGAACCAATAACAAAAAGAGTAAACAAGAAAGTCGCATCCCTTCATTTCCATAACAGTTCCTCTAGATCATTGTAAACCCATGATTCAGAGGCCACCAAGAATGTATTATCAAGAAATTCCTTCAAGCTTCACACCCTAATGACATTACAGGGATAGCACAGAGGATAGACTGCCAGGGAAGGTTTTACCACAGTGTCTGCCAACAAACCTGTCAGACCAATGGTCTATTGTAAATGGAAGTAAACAAGATCAACATGTCTGATTGCTGTTTAAGTCTAGTATCATAGTATTATGGTCAGAACAATCACCTTTAAATGATTTGAAATCTCTAGTGTACACTTTTACCCGTGTATCTGTAGATGGTTGTGTATATCTTTATATTTCAATAATCTTTTTATCTATACAATTTGACTTTGGTGAAAGTACAATTGTATATCAACAGAAATTCTTTAAAAACATTGTTGTATCAGAGTAATTGTATATGGACACTAGTGATTCGTGGATGGAGGAAGAAACCAGGCATGCTAAAAATAACCCTATCATTTAATATGATATACAGAAATCTGCTTAATGATTATAGAGTTGAAAGAATTTTACAATCCTAGATTAGTTATCTCCCTTGGTTTAAGATACAACTGATACCAAACATTTTTTCCTGATGACTTGTAGTTATAACAAAATAATGCAGTTATGATAATCACTATTTATCCATCAAGTGGAAAAGAACATTTTTTCTTTTATCTCTCAGATATTAACTCTCAAAATTACAATGTTACACATGTATAGATCATTCACGCCATAGCATAAAACAAAACTTGGATAGCTAAATACCAAGAAAACATTTTTTGTTTCTTCATTTAACAGCTGTTGAGATGAATAAAAAGCTATCGGAGGATATATCTGTGTGGGTCTAAACATAACTCCATGACCACATGCAGATGTAATTCAAAAGCTCTGTAGTAAAGATAATTGTTATCACATTTCCAAAAATATCAAGTGAGAGTGAGGATATAGCCGTAACGTCTTCCGTCGCAGGTACTAAACAGAAACCGAGTCCTTCTCAGAGCAGACAGAGGCTAGATAGACAGTGACCCAACTACAAATTTCCTATCACTAAACTGTTTTGGTCAACAAGACTGCAGTCTATAAGGATTTGGAAAATTATTTTTTCTCTTTACTTGAGCCTCCAAGACTTAAACTTTAGGCTCTAACATCACTGACAAGTCCTAGAAGGACAGCTGTATGATTCAGTGTAATTCATTGTTAGGCTCTACTGTAGCTAGCTCTAAATTTGTATTAAAAGTAGCTCTTCACTTGTGTGTATTATATACAATCTTAATCCTTTCCCTGTTAGTATATACCTCTTCTCCTGGCCACCTTCCTGTACACATGTCTTCCTTATGTGTATATAACATTTCCTTCCTCACCCTTGCCTTTTTTAGCTGGAATCTCACTTAAACAAGTAACCATGAATTTTGTCACTTTACCTCAATTTTCCCTTCACGCACACAGAATTACATGCACTTATCTAGCTCTCTTCCTATGTTTTAGCTGAAATCCCACTAAAGTACATTACACATAGTTATGTCCCCTTACTTGGCCTTTTCCTGTATCCTGAGATCCCTCTGAAGTCAGCTTCACAGAGTTATATCCCTTTACATTGCCTTTTCCCTCTATGGAAACTAATAGCCAAAGGCAGTCAATCAAATAGCTTTTACATCCCATTTAAGTTAGCCAAAATGGGTTATGTTCCTTTACCTTGCCCTTTCCCTCTATGGAAACTGGTATCCCTCTGAAGTAAAATAGCTTTTACATCCCATTTAAGTCAGCCAAACTGGGTTATGTCTCTTTACCTTGCCCTTCCCTTCTATGGAAACTGACATACAGAATTAAGTCCCTGTACCTTTTTCTTTCCTTGCATGTTGACTGACACCCGACTGAGGTCAGCCTCTTAGATTTACAACTCCTTATCTGACCCTTCCCCCCATAGAACCTGATATCCCAGTAAAGTTTACCAAATAGGTTTCACATCCCAATTATGTCCCTACCATCTCCATCTGTGTATCCAACACTCAATTTTGTGTTTATATCACACTTCTCCTAGCCCCATCCGCTAAGTTACCCTACTGGGACCAGTTATGTCCTCTAACCACTCTCACATATCTTCCCTTATCCCTTCCTCTACATAACCCTACTGGAGCCAGTTATGTTCCCATACCTCCTCCATCCTTGGTCTTACACTCCTTTTTGTATTTATATCACACCCTTCTTTACAATTTCCTCTCATATTCAAATTGGAGACAGTTATGTTCCTTTACCAATCTCTTACCCTCTTGCATAACACAAATGGAACATGTTATTAAGTGGGTTTCACTGTATATACCTCTACCCTCACTACCCCTTTCTCTATGCTTTCTCTGTGTAACATCAATGGTTCTAGTTATTTTCCCTTACCTGGCCTTGTCGAACTCGGCCTGAAAATTTGGGCTGTATACCAAGTGATAGATCAGATCACGGAATGTTGGATGGTCATGTTGTGACACCTGGGGAAAAAAAGGACAGTTGTAATATATGTCAATATATTTTACAACAAGGCAAACAGATTATCTAAACACAATTGTAAGATATATTCATATATTTAATAACAAGGCAAACAGATTATCTAAACACAATTGTAAGAAATATCAATATATTTAACAACAACGAAAACAGATCATCTGAACAATGTCCTCTTATCATGTAATAACTAATAGTTCAAGCATTGTATTTATTGCTCTGATTTGGTATTATTTATTTATCTATCTAATAATTGCCATTATGTGCACAACATAGCATCACACACAGAAAAATAAACAAAAACAAAAAAAAAATCCAAAAATAAACAATGATTGGTAACATGGATTATATCAAAATACCTGTAAATTCTTATTACATTTAAACACTCAATCCACCAATCAAATTTGGACTTGTAGTTCTCTATCGGTATGGAATATATCATTGCCAATTACTATCAATATGTTGATTGGGAACAATATAACACGTGTATAATTTATCTGTTCAAGACTGTTTATCAAGTGACAATCAGACATGGTAGTCTTTCTTGACAAGAATTGTTTATACTGTCACCTTGGATGCTCAGATAAATTCAAGTTAAGTTTTGAATGCCTAGCAAAAATGTTAGTATACACTTGACTTAAGGGTGTATCACTCATCAGTTACTTAGGTGCACCTGCACTCAAATTTGTTAATGTTATGAAAAATCACAAGAAAACTTAATAAAACAGGGCTTTTAACAATTGCAGGGAAAACAACTTGTGAAGCATCTTCCCTAAAATATACTGCTGTTCTAGCAGACAGTTTACATTATGTACGAGCCTAGCTGCAGTAAATCACAGATTGCGTTGTGATTGGCTGCATTGGTGGCAGTAAATCAGAGATAGCCTCCTGATTGGTTGAGGTAACTTGTCAAGACATTGTACTGTATGTACAGAATCTCAGATCCCAAGGAGCACCAAGAGATAAGATAACCCTGTGATTACTATAAATCCTGCCATCACTGATTACAGAAAACACTTTTTAAGCCATCTATTTATTGTTCGAAAAGATGTTTTTTTGGTTTTGTTTGTGATAACTGGGCCAGAAATAGAAGACGAGGAAGTGCTGTCAGCAGATGCTTCTATCAAAGTCAGTGGTGTAAGTCTTGTTAGCTTATAGCTTATTCGGATAGTGGCATGACTATGAATATACATTCAGTGATATGATTCAGCTGAAATGATCAGCTATCTAAAAATTACAAGATTACTGAACTGTCCAGATAGAGTCCTAATAGGAGGAAACAGTTGTAGGATGCAGTTTCTAATTCTGAATTTGAATTGAAATGTGATATTCACTGTATTTTTTTGTACAATCGCACAGAACAGTCCCTGTTGGTTTCACAAATCAACATTAAGGAACTGCCCCAATTGGCATCCACATCAACGTTAATGAACTGCCCAACTGGCGCCCACATCATCATTAATGAACTGCCCCAGTTGGCACCCACATCAACATTAAAGAACTGCCCCAGTTGGCACCCACATCAACATTAAGGAACTGCCCCAATTGGCATCCACATCAACATTAGTGAACTGCCTCTAATTGCCTTACACCTCAACATTAGTGAACTGCCCCTAATTGCCTTACACCTCAACATTAGTGAACTGCCCTTAATTGCCTTACACCTCAACATTAGTGAACTGCCCTTAATTGTCCTACACATCATCATTAGCGAATTGCCCCTAATTGCCTTACACCTCAACATTAGTGAACTGCCCTTAATTGCCCTACACATCATCATTAGCGAATTGCCCCTAATTGCCTTATACATCAACATTAGTGAACTGCCCTTAATTGCCCTACACATCATCATTAGCGAATTGCCCCTAATTGCCTTATACATCAACATTAGTGAACAACATCTGCTTTTTTAAAGTCTGTAATCTTATTTTGACATAAAGTCCTACAATGGAATATCAATCTCAACACAACAGTATGTTTTCCCTACATGTTATTATTTCACATTATTTGGAATATGTTCGAAAAGTACACATCAAAGCAAATGTTAAAAATTACAATCTTTATGACCTTGGCCCAAACAGCCAATGACCTTTGACATTTCATATTTGATTACTTTGATGCAAGGAAAAGCTTCAGTGTTTGAACAGATGTGAGAGCCCAGAAAATACATAAAATATATATAACTGTTCTTTGTTACAGAGATTTAGCTGTCTTATCATTCCGAGCCACAGAAGAATGTAGCCAACCTCCATCATAAGAAAGAAGGCGAATGATGGCAACTTCAGCTGGCACAGGTTTGCTTCGCAGCTTCCACAGTAATTCTCTGTACCAATTTACATATTCCTGTGTGTTAAACTACTTTCACACCACATCAAACAATTCCATTACCTTTCAACAATACGTTATGCATTAAAGTAACACAACATACATGTAATTTTTCCATGGTATTTTCAAATCTTTTTTAAACTAATAAGAAATTGTTATTGGCAAGAGGATGTTGCCGGAACAGAGGCAGAGAATGAGTTAGCTTTATGGTAGTTGCCATAGCAATTTTTCAAATACAAGAATTATGATTTAATAACAGGGACGTTTATCCAGGGACATTTATCATGCAAGACTGTAAACATCAATTTTTCAAAGTTAGTTACCTTCAGATATTTGTACAGTCAGCTCCATGCTTAAACTTTATCTTTTATGATCAAGTATTCAATAATTTCATGACACTATTTATATTTAACAACATGCAATAATTTGTATTTTAAAAGTAAGTTTGTGTGAACCCACATAAGTCAAGAAAAAACAAAAATGCAAATGTACAAATTACAAGAACAACCTGTTGGGCCTATCCTTAGTCAAACTGCTTTTCATATCTTAGAACTTTATTGAAATCGATCATGATTTAAACCATGTTTCTAACATCTATTGATATATTTTTATGTTTCTATTAGATCTGTACCTCAATGGCGTGGTCGTCGACATGTTTAAATGACTTGACATCAGGGTAGATATCAAACTTCCTGTAACGAGAACGGATGGGTGGGGGCAGCTTGGTGTCTGAGCCAGCCAGGATGGTGGTAGCCTGGAAAGAACTGGGGGCCAACATCTTGTCGTTGTCCAGCAGGCTTTAGGTCTGAAATAAACAAAAATAAGATATTCTCTTTACTAATGGTCAGTTTTTTTCCAGAATAATTTTTATAAAAATCAAATTTGGGGAAAATAAAATTCATCATAACTAAATTGGTGGAAAATAATCAAAAACTTCCATTCATTTTAAAACAATTGCAAAACTTGCTATACCAACTTTTCACTCTTGTTGGCCTGGACTGAAGTATATCAGGGATCTAATTTAATACAGAATGAAACCAGAGTTCCCTTGAAAACCCAAAGAGCTGGCCATGGGCAGGTGACCCCATATAGTGCCCAATCAGGGATGAAATCCTTGTCATCTAGGTGGAAGTGAAGGGCATTTGATGATTACCACTGTGCCACACGACCACCATTTTGTAATGTTAAAGTTTGCTCAGGAGATAAAAATCTGAGACAAATGTTATGTCATAGAAGTAATGCACTATATCACAGTTGAGCTTTCATTATAATCACATCACTACTAATTCACTGGTCTAGCAATAGTTCTCTTATCATTGTTCTATCAGATACAAAAACTGGCCAGTTATTTAGCTGTCTCCCATTCCAGACATTTAGTCGGAGGAGGAACTAAGACATCAGAATTTGTATACTCTTTAAGACATGGACTAAGTATAAAACAATGAGGTTGTAGCAATATCTTGGGTTTAAAGTGTTGCAATTTCAGATTGAAACAAACTCAAGAGAGTGTAAATTTACATTAAACATGCAAGAAAGCTATTCATTGCTGTTTGTGTTTGAGCATTAGACCTTTGGTGTCTAGTACTATGCTCCATAGGCTATACATCACAGACATCTTGAAGAGAATCGATACCATTTTGGCATTTGACACCCACGATCTTCACTGCAACACTAACCATCAGGCCACAATTCTTTGAAAATATGGATATTTGATACCTCGCAGGTCTATGTGTTCAAATCCCTCAAGTCTGTAGCAGACGGTCCTGATAGGTGGCCACCACTGTCGGGACACCAGTCAATAAAACGACCATAAAAGGCCAATCTGTTGTAGGAAGTTGGTAGTGGATATATATATTTACTTGTTAACCTAGCTGAGATTGAGACCAGGCTTTTCCATTTGTATGTTAAGTCTACAGTCTAAAACTAAAATCTTCTATTTACAGATTACTTCAGTCAGCACATTCAAATTCTCTCTTTCTCATTGAGCTTTCAGTCGGTGTTAACTCTGATACATCCCCATATAGATTAAATAGACTTTTTTATGAATGACATCACTCCGGTGTTCATGAATACATTCTTAATCAGAACAATTTAAATGCCTATAATCAGTAGGCACATTCATTGAAATGTTGTTACATATTAACCAGAATATCTAGAATGTTGAGGTTTTTAGTTATTTGTATTAAAACCTTATTTCTATATTCTATTTATGACAACGACATGATAAGGCTGCCTAACTGATTTTCATTCTGAAGTGTATTCCATGTAAAATCTGTCTAAAACATTCATAAAAATCTTTTAAAGACTTTCTAAATCAAAGATGACTTACAATGATGTAAAACGCTAACATCCTTGTATTAAATTCAAGAAAGTAACTTGAACTTTTAAGGGAGATCAATTGATTTTTCACTAAGGGAGATAACTTGATTTTATTACAACCATAAATAATGCCAGTACTGACACACTTTAGGCAGAGCCCTTTATTGTGTTATACCATCAACCTCTAGTTCTTGCTTTATAGACACAATAATTTGCCAGTGAAATATAAATAGATGTTTCAAATTATATCTTCACTTTTAACCCGGTGACCTTGACCTGTTTTTAGATGATTTCCCAATTTTATATTTATTCATGAAAAGTAAATTTTTTCTAGTAACATTCAAATATAGTTTTTGCTGTATTTCTCACGTCTATTTTCAGTTATGGTTACCTTGACCTTAGACATCTGAACATGAAAAGCAACTACAAGCTAATAAATCTGCAACGAAGCATGACACAAAGTCTAAGTGTTATCACTCAAACAAACCTGAAGATAGTTTGCAGAACCCAATATTTATTTCATCAGTGACCTTGACCATTGACCTCAGAACCAAAAATTCACTTCCATGCAATCACTTCTTTCAAAGAAGTATCAGATTGAACACAAATGGCCCAACAGAACTTGAAATATTGTTCTAAAACAAAAACATGGACACACCAACAACCTGATTACTTTAAGGCACCCCAAGTTTAAATATCCATGCTACCTTCATCCTCCAATGTTAAGCCTTTGAATAGCTGTATATTTACTTTGATCAAGAACAATATCTTGTATAAAGCCATAGAGAGGTCCCTAACAGTAGTTTGTAATATGCTACAGTTGTCCAGGATTTCATAACAATGCGATCTGTATTTCACAACTGGTTATGCATGTATTCAGTGGTAACAGATGCTGTTATATTGGAACTATTTTATTAATACAAGATCGTATAGAATGTATTTCGATCTCTTTCATATCAGATTTATAATATTGAAACGTCACGAACTGGCTGCTATGTAAACAATATACAAAGTACCTATATTCATGTTTTTTCTACTGTACATCCAAAAGCTGGAACCAAATGGTATTATCTAGGATTTAAATGGAAATATCCTGTAAGTGACTTTATTGGCTATTCCATCATTGATAGACAGGTAAATAAATAGATAAGAAAAAATACAAAGAAAAATGCATTTTTGCACAATATCTAAATTTGTGTAAATATACTTTGTGTAGCAGCTTTTGTCAGGCAAATCAAAGTGTAATATATCAGTATAATGATGACTGAAGAAATCACTTCACTCTACATCATGATTTGTCCCCATAACTGTTATGAAATCATTCAAATTCATTCATTGACAATAGTGGTAATCTTCATAAGACGTAATGAAAGATTCAGCATTTTTTAGAGATAACCTTGAATGACTGCATCATGTCTAATAAAAAACAGGAATATATTGGATGTAATCCAATCTATATTCTCCCAGCCAAACCTCAATATATGCTAAAAATATACCGCATTCTGTTGAACATCAGGACTAGACTTACAAACAGCAAATTCATAGGTATGTCAAAAAATCGAAAAGGGAAGTAACTCTTCATAGGTATTGTATTATACCAAGATTTGATATCATAATACCTCATCTACCGAAAGGTATTCACAAAATCAGGACTGGAATGACACACACAGAAATAAGGGGCAATAACTCTGTCCTGAAATTTCCCCATGCTTTCAATATTTCTTGAGAGGGTATATTCAGAAAGAAAAACATACCACTTGGAAAATACTACCCTTTACTGGTAGTAATATCTGTCTAGACTAATCCCTGGCACCATTTGGCAGTTTAGATGCACAATTTGGCAGTATGGATGGTAATGAGAAATGTGCTGTATCAACACTCACAGACGATATTTACACTCTACTATATATCTGTCAGTATCAGTAGATTAGTGATACAAGATCTGAAACACAGAATATCAACAAGTGTTATTTGATCAATTACGAAACAGCACTTGTTGATAAATCTGAGGATTTTAAATATTCCTTTAGCAAAAGTTTAAAGCTGAAATTGCAGCCAATTTATGTGTCTGGCAATATCTCACTGCCCCAAATTGTAGGATTTTTTATATACATTAATTAATCTTTCCAAAATCCTAAATTTCTATTTCCTTAAATTAATTGATCTATTCATCAAGCCTGGAAACATCTCATCCATCATGATCAATATCCTGTTACCATGGAGACCATCTATTTGGAATAGAAGGAAGTAAATCACTGTAATGGGATGTGCCACAGTGCCAGTTATAGTTACAGATGAATTAATGTGTTGCAACACTGTAAATGCATATCAAACTAATTAAATGACTGCATCAAAAGAACCAAAAATGTACCAAAAACATGACCAAAAAATTAAGAGTTCTTAACAGCATGTTGCCTGAAAAGTTCAGGAATTTCAGCGCCCACGAAGAAATACTTTTTTATCAATTCAATACTAGCTGTCATTGCCAGGATTTAGCAATACTGAGTAACTTTAGAGATAGCTAGGGTATGCCATCCCCTTGACCTCATACTAGCCAATGTAATCAAGAATTGATGACACTTTTATTTCGATCATGAGGATTTTATCTACCTTTTAATTCTGATGTGTTTATTTATGGCTGTTTTATATGTTATTATAATGATGATACTGTGACGATACAGACCAGACTCAATAACTGGTTTCGATTTGTAACAAGCAAGTCAAAAGTTATAATTGAAACAGTGCTTAAACTATCTGAAACAATACCATGCAAATTTCATCAGTCACATTTTTGTTTTGTTTTGATAACATTCAATCACTTTAGTTTTCCATTTTAAAAATTAAACTCAAGAATAATTAGATGTATGATACTGAACAATGAAAAGATACATTATAAATCCACATAAGTTCACAATGCAAAACAAATTTTATTCATTTGCCCTGTATACAAAGCTTTGCATCCCCTATATTCACTCAAAGATAATGTGTCCTAGACAAATATTACATATATGTATGGTAAGTAAGAAAGTCTTGTTATAGCGGACGGGACTTTAAATGGTGGCTATGTGAGGATTGTTCGTCTTTGCATAATAAAGAGTGCAAAAAAGACATAAGTGTAATAACACCGATCGAGAGCTTTAGGGAAAAAGGATTAACATAAGATAAAATATATCTCTCCTTTGGGGCATTCGATGGATGTCAAAGTTACATAACATTCCATTATGTAGGCTGTGCCCCACCCATCCCTTGCCACCTCCAAACAGACAGACTAGAGGCAACTGGTACCATGTGAGGAATAACCCATCTTTGTTACTGACAGAATAAGACACTATTAGGCCCAGGAGCCAATTTCTAAAACTAGTCAACATTTCAGACATCCTGACAGACAGCTCCATCCCATAAGAGGGATGCAGGTTGCCTCCTCACATTACCAGAACATTGACATTTTCAATGAGACAATGACTAGAAAAAGGACAAGTCTCCTTC